AAAAAAAATCATCACGCCCCAAGTGAATACCTCAGTAAACAAACGTTAACCTTACCCATATATTTTACCTGCCGGGGAATCCGCAAGGATTACGGGCCTAACAACCTCGCGGACCCTAGTTATTTCAGTGGGGGTGACAACACGTACTACCGCTCTTAGCCGGTCATGACTTTGGTTAGTTGGGACCGGTAGGCCTGGGCACACCTGCTTGCTAACAGCGAATAGGCCCCCCTAACCCAGTCATACCAAGTGAAAGGGTTGTTAACTTGTCACAGGGTAGTTAGCCGAAAGATAAAGTGACCATTGGGATCCTCTAGGGCACCTGGCGCGCCATAGAGTATACAGCCTTATTACAGTATTGAGCTCTGCTGTGACGGACCTTTATTTCTCGACTACTCGTGGGAACTATATTAACAAAAACATAGAAATATTACAAAACAACGAACTTGGGACAATCAGGGATCCTACAGACAACCTGTCGGAACAAGATCGTGAACTGACGACTCTTCGCAGAAGAGTCGCCGAACTTGGAGGTCTCAATGCGAACAATTGGACACTTGGTGAACCGTCTACTAGTAAAGAGACAGCAACGTCAACAAATGCAGACCAGGAATCGTAAGATCAACTGGGAGCAGTAGCTGACAAAATCGAGGGTCTAAAACTTAGACCTGAGAAACTGAGGGTCAGTCAGAGGCGCAAGCTGAAGGGGAGTCGAGCAATCAAGGAGGGACAGAAGAACCTACCAAAGGAGGGAGACAAGGGAACCGATGACTTGAAAAAGTCAAAGGGAACCGAAGCTCAAAAACCCGAGGACAAGGGTCAAGAACCTCCATGTAAGAAAACTCATTGGGTACCGACCTACAGGGACGTGGTAACCGATGATAAAAAAGTGGCTCTGGTCCTCGCAGGCTACCCCACTAACAAGTTGACCACAGAGCAGGGGCTACTCATTGAGTTTTGAGTTGGAGACTTGATACTGTCGGGTACTGATGGAACCGACGTACCAAGGTTTGAAGACACCAGACTTACTGATGGAGCACTTGTGATCAGTGCAGCCCAAGAGAACTCTTTTAAGTGGCTCACTGATCATGTCAACTTGATTAAACCTTTGGACGGTACAGAACTCCAATTGGAAGCCTGCAACCCGATCAAGTACAAGTCACTCATATACCAGGACTGCCAAAAGAGTCCAAGAAGATCTTGGAAATTTTGGCAAAACAAAACTCAGGGCTGAACACGGCGATCTGGAAAGTCCATCATGAGACAGAGGTTGGCCGAAAGGACAGACTTCCTTTCTAAGTGTGAACGAAAAGAGCATAGCCAAACTGGAGGAACTGAAGCGCAGTCCATATTTTGGAATGGGCAGAGTTTGCTTCACAGACTATGTTGCCATTCAGCCACCAGCCCAGAAGGATGTGAAAAAATCTACTCCTCAAAAATCTGGGAAGAGGAAGGCTGAAGAATCACCAGTGCCACTCGGAAAAGGAGGTAAGGCACAGGTAAAAAACAAACGGACGCACTTCACTCCTGCCTCGAAAGGGAAGGGAGGAAGTATAAGGGAAAGGGATCCAGGAAACCACCACCCTCAATAACGGCCACAGCTGAGGGGAACCTCTCCACGGATCCAAAAGGAAATATAGAGAGCTAACCTAAGGAACGGTCACCACCTGGTGACGGCGGGAGGACACCACCCACAGCGAGGGCTGTGTGACACAGGGACTATTTCAGATACCTGCATCACACCCAGTACAGCGTGATTTATCAACATCAGTTTTTCTGAATGGCTGACAATAGATTCAATTCACGCAAATAAATCTGCATCACAGTAAGGGGGCCAGTAGTGTATTACTAATAGTACTTATTCAGGAACCATGGATAAATGGTAATTAGATTAAGGGGCTAAATCTAAGTAAATTTTAAACTGTTTAATAAACAAGCAGATAAACCAAGAACTTGCATTTTGGTTAATAATAAAGTAAAAGCTAGCTTGATACTTAATCTATCAAGTGCAGACTTGACTATTATTAAAGTACCACTAAATGATGGTAAAAATATTATAGTAGCTTCAGGATACCTACCATATGAGGTAAGGACCTAACTATGCTCTTTAATTATTGCAAAAATGAAAAATTAGAACTAATCCTGGGTATGGATGCTAATGCATACCACACTATTTGGGGGAGCAGTAATATCAACCAAAGAGGAATACTGGATCTACTGCTGACTACAGACCTTAGTATACTGAATAGAGGTAGTGAACCTACTTTTGTTATCAGGAACAGGCAGGAAGTCATTGATCTGACAGTTAGCCCAAAAGGGTTACTTCAAAAGATAAAAGGGTGGAAAGTGTCCTCCGAACCTTTTCTTTCTGATCATAGGCACTTATGATTCACTTTGGAGATTAACAAAGTTGAGATGGAGTACTACAGGAAACTGAAAAAAACAAACTGGGACAACTACAGGGCAGATCTCTCTCGTGACCTGAATAACCTACAGTTTAGATTGGGGTCGAGTACTGAAAGGGCTATAAATATAATACAGGACTCCATTGTCTCGGCTCACAAAGAAAACTGTCCTTTAATAGAAAGAAAAGGTACAGGACAGGGTGTAGTTTGGTGGAATGCTAGACAATCTAAAATGTTTATCAAGACCCTTTGTCTGCTGTTGGGTGATCATAATAGCATGACTAGACATCAAATAAGTACCCTGACTGGTCTACTGACAGAACATGGTCACCTGCTTAAACATTTTAACGCAATGGCGGTATCGGAATCACTATTGTGCAAGAAATGTAGAGTAGAAGAGGAAGACTCATTTCACATCATGTGCGAATGTGAAACCTTGTCCACACTAAGATCAAATTACTTGAATAAACCTTTTCCTGATAAAGAAGATATTAAAAAGCTAAAACCCAGAGAGATATTTAATTTCGCCAGAAAGACAGGATCCTTTGGTCATCTTTAGAGGTGACTTTATGGTTGGTAGTGTATTAACACTTCGGTGGGTAAACTGAATCAAGACAATTCGGTATGAAGTGCGCACAATGGACCAACAGGTCTGAGTACATGGGCATTATGTCAACCTCGATAATAACTAAAACTAAAATACCCATACATTTTACTATTTTCTCTTTTTGAATTTTTCTGATTTTATTAATGAAATTTGTAATATATTTTTGTTACAGTAATTCTGGTGTAATATTTTTCCTGCAAATCAAATATTGTGCCTGGTGTAGCCAAATACTCCTAACGGAATCAGTGCCTTATTTATGAGGACGGTTTACCAAAGAGGCTTACACGCCGACATCGCGTGAGGCTTGTAAGGCTACAGCTAGGCGAAGCTAGCTACAATTTTAAATAAAAAATAAAAATAAATAACCTACTGTTTAACAATATGTTAATTTTTTACCAAAAATTTTGATTAAACACGGCTAATGAAGGGAAACTTTTGAATGGATACGCTTTTATACCGTTATTTATATAATAAACATTTGCTTTCTTCATTATACTTTTCCACTATATCATCCATATCAAAATTGTTTATGGGTTCTGTTGGAGGAGTTTTTTCAATTTCTAAAAATATTATGATTATTATTGATTAAATTGAAAATAATTATCAATGGAATCTCATTCGTTAGCGCAGATAAATATCAAAAGCGCCAAAATAGTCTCATTCAAGTATAACTAAAATATTAATTCATGGTTCCCTAAACGAAATGCGTAAAAAATCGTAAAAAAGTACTTATATGATCAAGAGTGTTCGATATGATGTACTAATTTTACAATGGGTAAATTTATTTCGAATCGGGAAAATAAATGTTAAATATTAGATAGGGTCGTCGCTTCAAAATTCCTCTTCTACACGAAATATGTAACAAAACCGTATTGTCTGATTAAGGCCTTGTATCCATTCCATTTTATCTTCGTTCGCTATAGGGTCACAGACTATTATTGAGAGTATCAATAATAATTAAAATACTAGTTAAAAAGAATTATTTTTCTAGTAACGAAATTTTATTTACTGACATTTGATATAAGTTATATTTTGAACATTGATCTTTCTTTAGAATAAAAAACGACCTGGGTCGTAGTCATAAAAAACACTGCGATATACAAAATCAGAAACTGGAACAATATTATTTTTTTACAATATTCATCCCGAGAAACACAGCATATTAAAGACAAATTTAAATAAATTCTAAATATTGCTTTTTAGAGTATTTTCTGTAATAATGTGATTCTACTTTAGGAAATGAGTCAACATGTCTTTTAACATCATTTGAAGGTGAATTATACCTTTTCAAACTTATCTCAGATCTACTATCATGGGCAACGTAAACTACTGTTTTACTAACTTTCTTCTTACAAATTTCAATTACCCTATGACTTATTAAAAAGGTTAGAAAAAAAAAAGACACTCTTATTTTTTTTTCAGAAAAATTACATAGGAAAATTTTTCTAGATGTTTGACAATATTTTTCTTCTGTTTACTTATAATCAATGAGTAGCGTTACAATGTTACCAGGACAAATATAGTTAATTATCGAAGAATTCTAATAAATTTGTCTTTCGTTTATGGGACAAAATATGTTTTAATTTTACCATAATTAGACGAAAATAACATGAGATAAATACTAGAGTATATATAACTTCTGACTAAGCGTAGTATGACGTCACAATATATAAATATATAACTCATTTGACACAAAATTTGAACTTAACACACTTAACCAATAGCAAGTTATCAATATCTTGCAATTGGTGTTTGAACTGCATCTGATATATACTACAGCACACAACGCTTAATTAATACATGAGTAAATTTCATAAAATGGTTTAAAATATTTAATTAATTTAAAAATTATAATATTTACAATTTTTTACTTAATAATAATTATTTATTTATTTTAGTTGGTTACACTGTATAATTTCATTATGTTTGGAACTAAAATCCTTTGCTTATACAGTTGATAGTATATTACAGTAATTCGAATATTACATTGAGTAAACAACGATTCATGTTAAAATTTAAAAAATTTCATTTGTATTCCAATGTAATTTGTTTCCAACCCATAGACATTATTGTGTAGTTAAATTTAATTATATATGAATGGCTTTATGTATTTTTAGTTGAGCTTGTATTAATATTCATAAAAGTTTAAGTCACAAATAATTTCGACAGTTATAATGTAATGTAATCAGAATACATCGGCTTAAATAAAAAACAATTTTATTTAAATGGATTCAAATACCAAAATTGATGATGTAAAAAGCACTTTTTTCGAAAACGACAAATCAAAATTATTTGAAAAAATTGTTTATTACACAAGTGGTTCTATTGGAGATGATGTGAGCTACATTATTTTAAAATTGTTAATTAAAAATATGTTTAAACAAAACTTTTCTTTTAGGTCTCACTTATCCTTAAAAATAGCAATGCAGAATCTACTTGTTTACTCTCTGATTCTGTTACTCATTGCATTGTAGGTGAAAATTTTGTTGAAGATGATGTTAATACTGCTAGGGAACTATATGATGCGATAACAGTTACTCCAGATTGGATTCGTATGTCTGTTATTTGCAACAATCTGATTCCGTATCCTTTTAAATATTATAGTGTTTCTATCTAAGATTTTATAATACAATGATGAACTTATATAAATTAAACTTTTATGAATAGTTTTTTACATTTAATGATTATGATTATAGTTAAATAAAATTAGTATATACCATTCTATGATTTAAAAAAATTAATGTAATTATTATTAAAGAAATAGAAACTGAAATATCAAAAAAAAATTTTTTAATTTATAACTTAGTTCATATATTCCTTAATAAAAAATGTTTAGAACAAAACCATTTAATCCATTTGAAGAAAATATCTTTAAACACATTGTAGTTTGTGTGTCTCAAGTTACAGCTAATGATTGTAAAACTCTTTGGGCATTAGTGACTTATAATGGTGGTAAATTTAGGCTAACATTAGATGTTAATAAAACTACCCATTTAGTTGTGACCAAACCATCAGGAGTAAGCATTCAATCTTAATTATATTACTTAGTTAAATATAAAATTAAAATAATCAATACTAATTATTAAAACTTAGGCCAAATATAATCTTGCATCATTATGTGGTTCAGATAAAATAAAAATTGTTACTCCAGATTGGATAATTGACAGTATTAAAAATAAGGGGCTATGCACAGAAAATACCTATCATCCAAGATTACTTATAACACCAAAAGCACCAACTTCTACAAACAATCTAACTTTTAGTAAGTAGTCTTTGTTTTAAAAATGATTATAAATTTATATGCACTATGTAATTTTTGTATTATAATTTTAAAAATTAATTATTTTTCAGAAATGCCAACTAGCGGTTTATCTAAAATTACTGGTTTTGCAGATTTCGATATACCAGTAGAACAACCAGAAACTGTTGTCACAAAAAATCAGGGATTGGAACAGTTAAAACAGCGTTTGCCATGGAATCAACCATCAGCTACGCCTACTACTCAGGTAATTATTTAGTGATAAATTTCTATTTTTAAATCCTAATCTTTAATAATTTAAAAAAACAAACGGATGATAATCCGTTTGTAAAAAATTGTAAATTTTTTTCTATCATATTATCATATCAAAAAAAAAGTTACTCAATTAAGAATATTAATATTAAGGTTTTTTATCACTGAAAGGATGAAAAACAAAATTATTTAACTACTATGTAATATTTTGAATTAAACAATATTTTCATTTACAAAAATTGAAAATTTTCTGAAGATCATGAGAAAAAGTATTTTATCCTTAATGAATCACTCTGAATATATATAGGAAGATGTTTTATCATTAATCACTAGATTTTTTCTAAAATAATAATAATTTAAAAAAATTTGTTTAGCTTATTTAAGTATTATTTGTTACTCAATTTTCAAATAGTTAAAACTGTTTAGATCTATTCAAGGAACAACAGTCATATAATTCACTAATTCATATAATAAGAAATGATTCAACTAAAAAAATGACTGATCGTTATCAACCTTTGGACTAGTATCTCAGAAATAATTATTATTTTTAAATGTAGACTGGTGGCGAGGAGAGGTTTATGTTATTATCACTATGCATCTCTCTATTACACTACTCCTCCTACCTAGGTATAAAAATGTTCATAACTCCTGAATTACTGGTTTAAATTTTGCTATCAACTGTAATTTTCTAATATCTAAACTAGTAAAATATGTATATTACCACTTAAAAAATGAAGTTGGTAGCAATTTTTTTTGGGAAGAGGAATGAACTGAAAACAAATTTAACATTTAAAAATTTGAGAAATTAATACTAATTCAATAAGATAAAAATTATTATTTAGAAAAAATCTAGTGGTTTCAATAATTATAAATAATGCTAAATAGCTGAATATAAAATACTTTCAAAGTATTAGCTCCAAACTGAATAGTTTTTAAATATTCGTTTCATCCTTAAATTATATCACTTTTGTTGTAAGTCATAGGCGCCATTTAAATCAATTGTTTGAGAAATGTAACTACTTTAATTTTCATTTCCTTAAAAATATTTCTCTCTAAATTAATATGCATTAATTTCATAATTTGGGGAGGCTTAGCCTATGATCTAAATGCTTCAAATATAAAAGTTTTATTATTTTAATGTAATTTAATTTATTAAGTCAAAATTGTATTTATTGGGAAAAAGCATATTTAAGAGGTTTAGGTGTCTCCATTGTTATAAAAAATTGAGGGTAGTGTAGAAGGTTAAATGTTCCAACTATTCTGCATTTTTGAAAAATTGTTAGGAAACTGCTTTCCTTATTCAAAATTCTAATATATCATTGCAGGGAAAATATATGTTAGGAGCTGAATCATGAGTCAGATTGATATTGATAACCTAATTTTTCTATTTTAATTATATTGGGTGTTATACTTTTGTTGTTAAATGATTATTTTAAATTCCACTTATTTTGTTTATGTATTAGGTATCACATGGAACTCAACAGTCTATTAATAGTGGACAACAAAAACCTGTGATGTCACTGATATCCACACCTCAACTTCAACGTTTGTCTCAACAACAAGTTCAACAGCTTCAATCCCAACAACAGACCCATATTAATAACCAAATTTTGTCACAGCAACAAATGCATTTACCACAGCAACAAAATCAATTTCAACAACAGCAAATTCGGGCACAGCAAATGCAAGCTAAACAAATACAGTTACAACAAGGTCAACAATTACAGTTCCAGCAGAATCCACCGCAACAACAGCAAAATCAACAAAATCTTATTCAAATAATGCACAAAAACCAACAACAACAAACTCAACAAAATTTACATATGCAACAAAAAATTCAGCAAATCCAACCAAATCAACAGCAGTTACAATCTGGTCAACAATTACAAAATGTTGTTCAAGTACAACCTGGTCAATCACAACTGCAACAAGGCCAACCACAACTACAACAAGGCCAACCACAACTACAACAAGGCCAACCACAACTACAACAAGGCCAACCACAACTACAACAAGGTCAACCACAACTACAACAAGGTCAACCACAATTGCAACAAGGGCAACCACAATTGCTACAAGGTCAACCACAATTGCAACAAAGTCAACAACAGCTTGTTTTACAACAACAAGCAGTTGCATTGCAACAAGCTCAACAATCAGTTCAAATACAGCAATCTAGTATTCAGACTATTCAGAGTCAACAAACTACTCAAATATCACAGTTACAGCAACAAAATATCCAATTACAGTCGGGACAACAGCAACAGATACCAATCTCACAAATTCAGCAACAAAATATTCAAGTTCAACAAGGACAACAACAAAGTCAATTGTCATCTCAATTACAAAAGCAACAAGTTACGAATCCATTACAACATCAACTACAAGGTCAACAAATACAACAGTTACAATTTCAAGGAGGAAATAGTCAACCTTTGCAGTTTCAACATCAAGTGGGACAAAATACTCAAGTCCACATTCAACAACAACAACCAACTCAGTTACAAAACATCCAGTCTTCTCAACCATCTCAAATATGTATTGTATCTAATGGTCAACAAATACAACAAACACCGACTAATCCTCCAACACAACAACAGCAGTTACTTTTACAGCAACAGCAACAGCAGAGATTATTATTTCAACAACGTATAGTTCAACAAGGAGGTGGCACTGTGTCTACACAATGGAGAATGGCTCATCCTTCAACAAATATGGTAATTTATTTTATTTAAATTTGGTTACAAAAAATTTTTTTAATTTTACATAGTTATTAAATCAATCATTTTTTTTTTTTGTTGGTTTGTCATTTTATTCTTAAAAATTATACCACTTTAAAATCTAAATTCTTAGAAATAAATAGGTTAATGTCTTGTTAATTAAACTAATATCTTTGTAATAATTAAATAAGATTAAAATTATAACATAAATAAAGTAACAATAAAACAAATTACTTCAATAAATGTTTTACTTAAATTTTATCTTAACATTATGTGATAGGATTCCTCCTGTGATAGATGTTTAACTATTAAGTAGCCAGCTATAATTTTAATATACTCTAGAAATATTGTTACTTATAGTTATATTATTAACAGCCTCGTATTTCTTTGAATCAACAACAATCGCAGCCAATTCAACAACAACAACAAACTTTAGTCATTGGACAACAAGCACAACAACAAACTGTTAGTATGAATATAGCAAATACACAACCTACAACTCAAGCTCAATGGCCTCAACAACAAACATTAACAGTTCAAAGGGCTATTCAACAACCATTAGATCAACGACAAGTTATATGGTCTCAACAGTCTCCAGTAAGTCATATTATATAATTTTGGTTAATAACATAAAAGTTTAGTGTCTTTCAACATTTTTAGCCTTCTGTTTTGGAATAAGTCTTCTTAGAGTTTCCTATACAGTAACGAGCAAAAATGAACACTAATAAGAAATTGTTGAGAAATAAGGTTATAAAAAAACAACACGTGTATAATTATATTAATCAAAGAAATAAATGTATTTGTATAACAAAATTAAAGTTTATTAGCTGAAAAAATACAAACAATAAGTAGCGAGTTTCTAGAAAATGAATTTTTAAAAGTACTCACTTTTGCACTGGTAATTATTATAAATATATTCTAGCGTTAATATTTTGTCCACAAGCCTTTAGCTTTTATCACTGCTTCCATTCTTCGTGGCATTCTGTTGACCAATGACTCGCAGTCGTCCACGTCAATTTTTGTTCATTCTTCTCTAATTCTTTCCCACAAATTGTCGAGTGAAGTCGGTGGACCGTAGTACTCACTACATAATTTTTTTTTTAAATATGCCCAAAAATTTTCTATTGGGTTCAGGTCGGGACTTTGAGCTGGCCAGTCTATAATTTTAAATTTTTGATTGGCAAGTCATTGTTTAACGTATTTTGCTGTATGCTTGGGGTCATTATCCTGTTGGAAAATGACTTCATTGTTTGGTATTGGCATTTTTGCGACCACACCTAGCAAATTTCTTGATAGAATGTTTTTATACATATATTGATCCATAGTAGAAACAATTTTATGAATGGGTTTGAGTCCATATGCAGTAAAACAGCCCCATAGCAAGACAGATCCTCCACCATGCTTGACCGTCTGCTTGATATGGGATGGTTTGAGGCTCTCGCCAGTTCTTTTCCAGAACCAGGACCTTCCGTCAGAGCAGTATCTATTAATTTTGGTTTCATCTGACCATATCACCCTCCTCCAGTCTTTTTCTGTCCAGTTTTTATGATTTTTAACAAACTTTAACCCAGCCTTCATATTTTTTTTGGAAATTGCGGGTTTTCTCTTTTTTTCGGCACACACAAAATTTTGTTCCTTGAGAATTAAAGTCTTTTTTTAAAGTCGACTTTTTTAAAGAATTAAAAAAAGTCGAGGTAAAGCGTTAGGACAACCTTTATTTTTTATTTTTTGCACTGTCGTTTGGCTGACGCCACACTGTCAAGCCACTTCTCTGGTTGATTGACCCGATTTTAGCATCGAAACAATTTGTGCCGTTTTTTGAGGAGTAATTTTCATGTTGGTTCCTTTCACTACGAAAGACTGATTAAAATAGAAATAGAATATTCTTTTTGTAATAGAAAGAAATGTAAACAAATCAAGAGTGAAAAAACTCTTTTCTCTAGACGTCCTAAAAATAGCAAGTCAAAGACACGCACTACAATTTGGGTTTTTACGTTGTATTAATAATAGGTACAAAAGTGAGTATTTTTAAATAAACAAAATCTCAGGCCTTTTATCTTTTTCGTGACTATTTTTTGTGCATAAACTTTTGTTTTAACCCCTAGAATATGGATTCAAAAATTTATTAAATTAAATTTATATTTTTAGTTTTGAAAATGCTAATTTTCCAAAAAAAAAAGTTGTGTTCACTTTTGCTCGTCACTGTATATTAAAATTATTAAAAATTAAGTAGTACAATAAAAAAACATCTTTAGTTTTAGTTTTATTATTTATTATAATAATAATTATTTTAGCATGGCCCACAACAAATGATTCATATGGATGCAAAAACACATCAGCAAATACAAGCAATGAATCCTGCTGAAAGATTAGCTTTTATCAATAAGCTTACTAAACAGAGGAATCTTGTATTACAACAATTCAATGTAACTTATTTTTTAATTTAAAAATACTTTTACTCAGATTTATAAATTATATTATTAATACAATTTTAAGGCACGTCAACAACAAGCTGCAGGAATTGGTAACACAAACATTATTAGACCAAATACACCTACTGGTCAAACAACTGTAATTCGTACTTTAAATCATCAGCTTATTTCAACTTCTGGAATGACACCAGCCCAACAAGCTCAGTGGAATCAGATGCGCCAACAACAAGTAACTTAACTTTAAATTGTTTAATAAATAACACAGGACAACAACAACAACAACAAAAATTACTTTATTCACATGATTAGTCTTTAATTTTTTCTTTGTAATTATTTAAATAAATAATGCATATAAAAAAATCTAATTATATCACTGTATTCAGTGTAAAAATATATGTAAATTCGTGAAATAACAAAAGAACTATTTTAATGTAATTTTCGAGATTTACGCTTGTTTTTTCTATTAACAGCAATTATTTTTGTTTTTATTTTTTATAATTTTTAAACTTGTAACTATTTATTAGTTGCTTATTAGTAACTAGTGTGAAATGGGGTATTTCTAAATTTATTTTTTCTCATTATTATCAGATTATTTTTTAGATTGAAAAGTCTGGTTCTTATATATGTTGCTATCATATTAAATGTAAGTTCAAAATAAAAACTTGTAAATTTATTAAAAAAATGCATTCACCCTATTTCACCTAATCACAGAAACAAGGTCTGATAAAATAAATTTGAATTCAGCAATAATATTCTATATAGAATTCATCTAAATATTGTAAACCACAGAATTTTCCTTTTGTTCTGTGTAATTGATATTTTTAATGTATTATCTTATTAGTTGTTAGCACAACAACAACAACAACAGCAGCAGCAACAGCAACAACAAATGACAGGAGTAACAGCAACTACTGGAATAGCTAACAACGTTAAAGCTGTAAATACAACATTAGTGAACAATCAACAAGTTAACCAACCACAAACCACTGTTTGGCAACAAACAAATGTTACAGAACAAGGTAATATAAATAATTTAAAAAAATTATATATAGTTAGCCAGCTTAATTTAATACTGACAAAAATATTATATAATACATAGAGTTTTAACAATAAGTAAACTTTTTAATCAGAATCAAAATTGATGTAGTTAAAATTGATTGTATGAATTTTTTTAAATAAAAAATAATAGTACTAATTTTGTCCAAGCATGTAAATTAACAATAAAAGATTAAATTATATTTTATGAGTTCCTTTTTATAAAAATAATATAAATTTTTAAGGTACTATATGAAAAATCTGTTATTGAGCCCATTCTTGTTTTAAATCACTAATTAAATCATTATTTATTACAGGACATCAACAAGCAGTTGGAAGTATGTCTGCAGCTCAATTAGCTCAAATACACCAGCGACAACAACAAATGCAACAATTAAGACTACAACAACAATTACAGATGGATACAACTCAAAAACATCAAATTATGCAACAACAGGTATCATATTTGGATAATCATATAATTTTATTCTATATTAGTTTATTTATTTATTTTTAAGAATAATTTAGTAACTTAAACATTAAATAAAACTATTGTTTTAATAAAATAATATTCATTCAGGTTGTTACGGGTCAGCCGATTGCTGGAGTCATGCAACAAAATATTTTACAATCTTCTCAAGTTGCTCCTGTTTCTACTCCAATAGTTCAAACACAACAAGCTACAACCTTGTCATCCAATGACCAAACAGAAACTCCTCCATCTGGACAAGAAACTTTTTCTGTAAGTGATTACAATTTAAAAATTTTATTGGTGAAGGACTTCAGTTTATGGTTGGTCTCTTGGTGATGGATTCAAATCTATATTTTAATTTACTATTATTAACTAAGGGGCTTAAAAACTATTGTTGAAAATTGATAGAACTACGACTGAAATATGTAATGAAACATTCTTTAATAAAAACTAGTTTTTTAAAGTTGAGCCCGAAACGTCAAAACTTAACTGTAAACATGGATATATCCTCAAGCATTTCAAGCAACAAGACAATCCATGAAAACTTTAACACATTCATAGTTTTTTAAAGTATAATATACATTTAGTAATGTACAACCAATAGCCTCTTTTTAAATTTTTATTTAGAACTTAATTTTTAGCCAGTAGATGTTATTTTTAAAATATATGTATGAAAAATTGGTATGATTATAAACAATTGTTGAACAATTAGGGCTCTAAAGTAAATAATAAAAATTTATTAATTATAAAGTTTTTGATTACTATTAAGGTCTCAATGTGGGAGCTTATTCTTATTAATCATTAGGTTATTAAATTAAGATTAATTTTGGGCTCAGAGAAGATTAAGCTATATGTAAGTCTTTGGTAATAACTAAAAAAATATGAGTGATGAACCAAAAAATTAGTCTTTAAAATAAATTTGTTGGTCTTTTATTCTTCATAGACAGTAAGTACAGTGTTATAATACTTATGAATACTATGACCCAAGTTGACTAATATCACCTCTATTCAGATATCTAATGATTTGACATTTACTCTTAAATTATAAATAAAAACCTATTAAATAACCAATATAAGATAAAATATAAGTCATTAATAAACTTCTACCACTTATCAAAATCTAATATCCAATAAAAATTATATCACAAATCAAAATATTTATCAATTTGATAATTGAGAATAATTAAATATTATAATTTTCTGACTGAAATATTATTGTTAAATAATATATTTAAAAAAAATTATAATAAATTATAAAATGTTATAATTTTTATCTAGTTAAAAAGTTAAATAAATATATATTTTAAATTTTTTTAAATTTTCACTTATAATAATTGTTTCTATTTAATTTTTACCTATACTTTATTTAATTGTAGTTTTATAGTAGTGTATTTTAATTAATTTTAAAACATATTTTTTCATACTAGCTCAACTCTATTAATTTAATTAAGATCCATAACATTGGAATGTTGAATATAAATTATAATTTATACAGTCAATGATGACTGTATAATATTTATATATTTTATATAATTACAACCATTTAATATTACAAACTATTCAATTGTGTGTTAATAATACATAATTGAATCTAGAAACATGATTGTAATAATTATTCCTATATTACTACTATACAATATTAGTAAAATTAATTTTTTGTCTTTAAAGTTTCAATATGATTTTTTACCTATAATTATTTTAATTTGAGGCTTAACTCATCAACATTACTGACAAAAAAGATTCCAAGATTACTATTGCTCTATTTTAAGCTTTTATCAGTGGTGTAATGCTTACTAAGTTAATTAAATATGGTGTTGTTAGATAATGTTAGTAGTATAAATAATTACCCTATTATTCACTGAATAATTATGTAGTTCAATAAAATATATTTTACTTAATTGTGAGAGTAAGTATATTAAAATAATAAGTAATGTGTTATTTTTTTAATAATTTTATTTAAATCATAAATTAAAGTATGACATCTATTAAATTTCATTTTTCTGAATATTAAAAAATAGTCGCTACTCATAGCATCCAAAATCATATTTTCTAGCAAACATCTCAATCAAATCAGCAAGCGTTGGTTGTTAATCCAAAGACTAAAACTGCGCTTGCTAATATGTTAAGTATACGCTTGCAAAATGGCATATCATCATCAAGCTCGGCACAACAGGTAAAAATCGAATTATCCCAGACCAATGCTGTTTTAGATGTTTTTGCAGTTTTTGTCAAAAATATTTTACTAAACTATGACTTCATATTTTCCAATTATTTTTTTACCAATGCATGACAGCTGTCAATCTATTACTAATGCAGTGGCGAATTATCATTTTCCCATTATCAATAAAAATATACAATAATTAGACTTCAAACAAGAGATTTGCGAAGTACTATTTATTTCGCCGCTGTATTTTAAAATAAACGAAGTATAAACTATAATTGACTAAGTATTTGAATTCTCTTTTATACCTTTAATCAACTGCCTAACCTTAGATGTACTAAAATTATAGATTTTAGTGATAGAACAGCTAACTATTTACAATTAATAACTAACAAAACAAAAATTATTGTTTTAAACTAATTTTAACAATTTAATTTCAAAAACAGTGATTTATGTCTAACATATGGCAATCTAATTTTTAAAATTATTTTGTTACCAAAGAAAATATCTTATACTAATATTTCAAAACATCTTTTTGTATTATGGCTTGTTGTAAAAAAAACTAATCGCTATTTGAAGATAAATAATGGTAAGAAACCTCCACAAATCTAATTTTGTGGACCTATGTAGTAAAATTAAATTATTATTTTGTATTAAACATGAAATGAGTTATTATAATTATCTTAAATTATATTGTAGCATGATGTTATGAAAAAAAAGTGCTTGAGTATTAACAAAAACATTTTGTAATTGTAATATAACTATTTCATTACATATTTTCATAAATATAAATATTAATTGTTTTTGTGAGGGTTGGATTTTTTTAAATGAATGATTTATCAAAAAAGTATATTATTATTAAATGTATAAAATTAAGTTATGATTTAGTATTAAAAATCCAACCCTGACTAAAATTAACTCCAATTTTGCAGTAACTTATAAGAGTTACTGTTAATAATAGACTGTAAATAATTATATTATTCTATATTAATTTAGCAGTTACCAACTCAAGAAGTTAGTGCAGCTGGACAGTTAAGGCTAATGACAGCTCAACATCATGCAGCACAACATCAAAATCAAACTCAAGGAACTCAATTCCAGGTAATAGTCCAAATTTAAATGTAATTTTTTAATAAGAAAGTTCTAAATTAGGTTGTATATATTCTGATTGTTCTTTTCAATTATGATTTATTGGATAATAAATTTTATTTATATATTAAGTATATATAATTATATATAAAGACCTATAATACGAGGTGTGCCAATAAAATAATGAGACTTTCTAAATATAACCTAAACTATTAACGTTATCTATAAAACGATTATTGAAAATATGATTAGGAAACACTTATCTAAAAGTACTATAAATACTGATGAAATCAGTTAATTTTCTTATGCTTTAGTAACTTTGTTATTAGTGCAATTTTGACTATACTGCCGAAAAATGTTAGATATAAAAATTAAACAATGTGTTAACATTAAATTTCTTGTTAAATTAAAAAAAAACTGCCGCGGAATCATTTCGTATGTTATGTGAAGTTTATGATGAAGAATGTTTATCAAGAGCTCGCGTTTTTGAATGGCTCAAATGGTTTTGCAATGGAAAAGAGGACGTGGAAGACTATGATCGTTCTGAACGTCTTACCACATATTCAACAAACGAAAACGTTGAAAAAATCTATAAAATTATTTGGTAAGATCACCGATTAAGTGTTAGAGCTGTAGCAGAGATGGTAAATATTGATAGAGAAAGTGTTCGTAAAATTTTAGTTGAAAATTTAAATATGAAAAAATTGTGTACTAAAATAGTCCTTAAAAATTTGATGATTAATCAAAAATTCAATCGTAAAGAAATTTGTTCTGACCTTAAAAATCATCAAAAGTGATCCATCTTTTATAAATAATATCATTACGTGGATTTTTACACATGAACCTGAAACTAAAAGGCAATCCATGCATTGGAAGACATCAACTTCCCTAAGAATGAAGAAAGCACGAATGAGCAAGTCAAAATTAAAGCAATGCTCATTGTTTTCTTTGACATTAAGGAAATAATTTTTGTTGAATGGGTTCCTAGTGGGCAAACTGTCAACCAATATTATTATAAAGAGATATTAATTAAATTAAGAAAACGTGATAGAAAAAAACCACCAGATTTGTGGAAGAATGGCTGAATTCTTCACCAAGACAATGCTCCAGCTCACCGTGCCTTTTCAATTCAATGTTAATTGAAAAAAATATTTCTATACTTCAACATCTCCCGTACTTACCAGACCTTGCTCCTTGAGACTTCTTCTTATTCCCAAAAATTATAAATTTATTAAAAGGAACCCGTTTTCAAACGGTTGATGACGTAAAAATGAAAACGGCAGAACTTCTAAAAGGGCTAACTGAAAGCAATTGGCAACATTGTTTTCAAGAATGGCAGCGACGTATACAACAATGTGTTGATACTGAGGGAAGGTTCTTTGAAGGTGACAATCATTAAATTGTAAAATTTTAAAAATAAATAACTTTTATTAAAAAAGTCTCGTTATTTTATTGTCACACCTCGTAGCTCATAATATTACAACAATGCGCCTTACTACCATTAATAATAAATGCTGCATATATGAAAATATCAAATTCATAAAAAATCAATGAGCTACCTTTTTGTAATCCCATTAAAATTTTTATTAAATTCAAAATATGTGTTCCCATTTGAAAAAACAAAGTTGATACCCTTACAAGGCATATGGGGGAATGAACTTAAAAAGTATTACATAGCTATAATTTAAGAATAATACGTAACTAAAAGGTAACCAAAAAAGAAAATGTTTAAATTATATTTATTCTGTAAGTAATTGAGTGGGTTATGATAAAAAAATCATTCTATATAAGCTTATAGTATAATATCAATAATAGTTTTATTGAAATTTTATTATTTAATTATATTTTCTATTGCTAAAATAATTTCTGTATCCAAAATTATTTTAAATGTTGCATATTTCATATAGTCAAGGTCAGTGTTGAATAATGTTACTAACAGTTCACCTTCAAATCGTACTACACAAGTAGTAAACCGTGCTAATGTTCCAACTCCATTGGTTAATAAAGCTATACCCGTAAATTACAATCAATCAGCTGCTGTAAGAGTAGCAGCGGTTTTAGCTAAAAGTGCTGCAGGTCAAACAATTGGTCATCAACAACAGCTTCCTCACCAAGCAAGATTTTTTGGACATAACCCTAATCTAAAATGTGAGTCATTAATTTAAAATATAAACAAATAGAATTTACATCCTTCTATTCCCCAAACTTAACTTACTACAGAGGGCGACCACCCCTCTTTCATGTTAGGTAGTCAAAGATGGTAATTAGCTCATTCAATGATGGATGGGTATTATGAGTATTGACCACATACCATCATTGAAAAATTACAAGAAAAATCTTGTTGTAATCCTAAGAATCAAACCCAGGGTGATCCCCATGTGCTGAAATATGAGTTTCTACTTACTAGGTCAGGCCAACCCCTTAAAAGATAAAAAAAATAGAATAAAATATAAATAAAATTTAGTAAATAAAAATGCATTCCATTTTTTTCAGTGCCACCTGACAAATGTTTACTTGGTTGTGTTTTTTTAATTGTTGAATATGATAGATGTCCTGATACAGTTAATGATGTGCCAACTTGGAAACAAATAATTATTGATCATGGTGGAGAAATTGAACCTTCCTATACTCTACGTTTGACACATATACTTTGTCAAACGCAAAAACATCCACTTGTTCAACAGGTAATTACAATAAAATATAATAATTAAAATGTATTATTTTTATTACTTACATTAATTATTTATTAATTCAATATAAGGGCTTAAGAGATGGTAAAAGATGTATTACAGCATACTGGTTAAGTGATGTAATTACTAAACAACAACTTATGCCTCCTTGGTATGCTCTACATTTTCCTACTCCATATTGTGAAGAAAGACCTTGTCGTCAAATGATGATATCTCTTACTAACTTTGAAGGAGAGGAACGTAACCGTGTTAAATTCATGATAGAACTAACTGGTGCTCGAGTTACATCATATTTCTCTGCTGATAACAACATCTTAGTGAGCAGAAAGTATGTTAAAAAAAAACATGACTTAATTTTTATTAATGTAATTATAAAAAAAAAAATTAGATTGGAAGGTAAAAAAGTAAAAAAGGCCAGAGAAACCAATCGACCTGTTGTTAATGTTCAATGGTTAAATGAAATTTTGTTTGGTCATTTATCTTGTATGTATCAACCTGAAAATGCTAAATATCAACAATTCAATCTTAGTAATCCATTTAGGGTTGACTATACTTTAGTTCTTCATTTAATGGGTATGTAAAAAATTAAATATTATAATAATACTTATTATTTATTTACATTGGCTATTAAATGCACTGAACAATGGTTTATTAGAATCATAATATCTGTATCCTCTGAATAGTTCAATTTTTTTTTCAAAACTTAATTTCAAATAAGAATTTGAATAAAATTTGACTTGAAAATGTCAAGAGCCAGAATTAGCCCAAAAAAATATTTAAATTTTGAATTTTATTGAATCAAATTTTAAGTTCAATTAAGGTTTTAAGTGTGATTTCATAATAATTTCGGTTTTTATAATTATTATTCTAACCAATTAAAAAAATATATATACAGTTTAGATCAACTAACTTACTAGAAAATATAAAAATTTCAGAAAATAATTTTTGTTCCTAAATCTAATTCTAGGGATATTATTTATTGTATAATGACTGTAAAATAATATATACTATTTATTTCAAATAAATTAATTGAAGAGTTGACATTAAAATATTATACGTAAACTTTGTTTTCTTAATGTAATAAAATTAAATGTTTGTGATTCCTATAAAATAATTATTTTGGTAAACTTATGTTATTTTAACAATTGTTGTGAAAATCTATATTACCTACCATGAAATCCTATTTTCATTTAGCATATATTTGTTTGTATGTATCTTACTATTTTTACAATAATAAGTTTTTATGAATAAAAGGTGCGTGGAAAATACCTGTGAATGTTACTCAAGAACTATATGATAGAATTCGTAATAATCCTGTTCCTGTTAAACGTAAACGACCCAGACCTGGGGCTAGTCTTCCTGATGTTACTGATCAAGAAAATGATCTAATTATTGCTGACATAATAGTAACGAATATTAATCCACCTCCTATTGAACAAAGACCTTGTGTCATGCTCTCAGGATTTGGTTTGGCTAAAGAAGAACAAAGAGTATGATATATTAGTGTTTTATTGACTAATTTAACTTAACTATCTACCTAAATAATATTTTAACGTTATTTTTTTTTTATTAAAAAAATTTTAGATGGTTTTACAACTAGGAGCAACAATAGCTAAAAAATTTTCTGAAGTTACTCATTTAGTTATGAAAGAGTCTGCCAGAACCACTAAATTTTTGTGTTGTTTATCAACAGTTAAACACATAGTAACTGCTGACTGGTTAAAGGATTCATATACACAACACATGTTTTTAGGTAAATTTTTTACTCTCAGTCAAAATGTCCAACTTGTTGCAGTAAAAATATCTATTATCATTTTAGTTGTATCAATATACAGCACTAGTAAAATGTTTACAAGTATTCTTAAGAAACAAAATATTTGATTACAAAAATTAAGTCATGAAATCTGTAAAATATTTAACAGCACCAAATTAGCCAATTAAACAGTATCCTTAATAATTCAATAATAAAATTTTGAATTTTTCTTTTATAGGAGAAGCTATTTATACTGTTGAAGAAGTTTCTGTTGATGAAAAAGTTGTTTGCAAAGTTCATAAAATATTATCTAATCCAAATCGTCAAGAATTATTTAAAGGAAAAATATTTTATGTTACACCTGGAGTGAATCATCCTAAAGCCTTTGTTGTTCGTCAAATTATTGAATCAGCTGGAGGTACAGTTGAAAAACAAAGACGATCACTGCGATCAATTATTGAACTTGACCTTAACACATATATTGTAATAGCTTGTACTAATGATCTCCACTTGGTTGCTGATCTTATACGATCTAGTTATGGTAAATTTAATTTTAAATGAATTAAAAAGAATATAATACACAGATTTTTTATTAACTGATTTATTTGGTACGGTCTTTTATTACAGGTATATATTCGTCTGAGTTTGTACTGTCAGCAGTTATGACTCAATACATAAATTATGACATGGCTTATAGAAAGCCAAAAAATAAGTCTGAAAAATGATCAGGATACATCCTGACATAGTTTTATTAAATAACTTTTTTTTATATAAATATACATCTCATTGCTTCCCAAATTGTATGTTATACTAATCTATTTTGTGTAGCCTATTTATAATGTGTTTTTATGTTATATTTAATAAATTTATAGTTTCATTTGTTTTCCCTAACTTATTTTATATTTTTAAATTTTCTACATTATAGATATATTTATAGTTATAATTTAATTATATTGGTTATTACATTAAAACCAAGATTGAAAAAACATTAACCAGCACTATTGAATTAATAGTTATATATATAATACACAAGGTGGTCCATTATTATGTTTTGAACAATTTAATAACTTTTAATCGACTGAATATTTTGTGTTGCTATTTTTTTAAAAATAATTTGTGCATTCTTAGACTACATTAAAATCATGTTTTCATTGTATGTTTTTAATAATAATAATAATAAGTTTTATATTGCAAAGTGACTGTATTCTTACAATTTTGATGGTTGATAACAACTTTAGAATAAGTATTTATTAACTTAGAAGTATTTTAATACATATTCATTCTATGTATTAAAGTGACTATTACTTGTAATAATTATCTTTAAGTTTTTATTAATCTTTTAAATTTTTTTGATAGAAAATTGTTATTTTGAATTTAAAAAAATATATTATTTTTATTATTAAAAACTAATAATAAAATATGATTTTAATGTAGTGTAAAAACAAATGCATAAATTATTAAAAAAAAAAAAAGTAGCAACACAAAATAAATAGTAAATCCAAAGTCATTTGATTTGTTAAAAGATTGTGGACCACCTTCTATAAATGTTATATATATTTTAGTTATATTTTTAAGTGTATTATAATTTATAATTAATTATAAAAAATGTAATATTTTATGTACTTTCAAAACAAAAGAATATAATGATCATCAAATTAAAGAAATTTATTTTATTTATAACATATATTTTTATGTATCAAATAGTTTAAAAGTATGAAAATATCAACTATTTAAAATAGTAAAGTATTTGTAATCTTTAGAATAAACATAAATAATTGTTAATATTTTTAAACAGTTTAGTCTGTTGGTAAATTAAATGTAAACTTTAACAAATATGAAATATTTAGTACTTATTATCAATGCCTTAATACAAAAATTTTTATTTGTTTATTTTATTTTTAAATATAATAATTATAATATCATTTATAAAATTTTTCATCAAGAAAATTTTTACATTTAATAAAATTATATTTCCTCTTTATTAACAAAAATCTTTTTTTAATTTCATACCTATCTTATTATTAAAGTAATAAAATCCTTATGTGTTTAACTTCTGAATAAAAATACAAATATTTTATGTGTTTTTAATTATTATGTTTGAATTATTTGAAAACATTAAATAATTTTATTAGTTACATTTCGTTACTATAGTAACAGTGTAATATTTAGTATTGATACAGCAAATATAATAACAAAATTCAATATAATATAAAAAATAATTGACTAATAATGAGAAGAATAAAATTATAGTTTTATATAATGGATACTAACGATGAAAAATCAAAAGAAGTTTACAGCGAGAATCAGTCATTAAGGTAATAGTTTTATGTCATAGATTTCATTTAATAAAAGTGACCAATAAATACATATTTTTTTTAGACCCAAATTGAAATATACCTTTTCTTATAATCCATCTATGGCTCGCTCTCTTGATTTTGTTGTTAAAGGACCAACTCCCATAATTGTACATAAAAAACAAAAAATACTATCAGGATGTTCTTATATTGAACTTAAATTACAAAAAAATTCAAAGGTTAAAATTGTTAACTTTAAACACTCATAAATATATTAAAGAACTATGTTATTACTCATTAGATAAGTGAAATGACATTTCGAAATTACTATACTTCTAGTATAAGTGTTCTTGTATTACGATCTAATACTCAAAGTATATTGATGGGATCAAGAAACTGGGAAGTTGCCATTAAAAACAAAATATTGATGAAATATCCAAACTTTGAGAATGGTGCCCAAGATTACTTTTCAATTTTTACAACTGAGGTATATTATTTAAAAATTTATTTTGATTAGTAGTAGAAAATTTTGATTTTATTCAGAAAATGTTTTGAGGATGAACCATATTTTTTTTTCAAGCATCTTTCTTTTTAATCAATTCATTAAAAACATCAATTCTGAAGATTAATAAAAGTTACGATCAATTAAATTTAACAGCCAATTAGGTGTGGTAGGATTATCTGCAAAGAAATTATTGCTAATGTATTTTTAGGATTAGTCCATTGTTGGTGATAATGGGAAAACTATAAATTTTATAGAATTCAAGTTTAAACTAGCCTTCTTGGATTATCCTTAATTATAGTATTAAAAAAAACCCAGCACAGGGGGTCGCGGCATGATTGGGTCAATGGAAATCTTTAGTGTTTAATTTTAAAAAGTAGGGGGATTATTCCAAAATCTACATGATCTGCTATTTCCTTATTTATATCCTGATTAATATAAAGGATGTCAAATGAAAGAGGGATATAAATATTATTTCTCATAAAAAAATTGTATTGATCCATACACTTTTCAATAAGTTATAGCATTATAAAGTTAAAAATGTAAAATAGAAATTCGAGAATTTTCACACAAAAATAGCATTTGGTATCTATTTTCACCTTGTAGACAAAATAAAGTCTGAAATTTTTTTTTCCATAATTAAGTATATTACATTATCCCCCCTTTGGCCAGATTAAGGGTCAGATTTTAAAAAAAAATATACCAAATGATAGGTAAAGACATCATGCATCAATAAAAAAAATAAAATTATATTGATTTAGTTATTTTTAAAAAAGTTATGGCACTTTTAAGTAAAAAAAAATTGAGGGTAATGTCTTCGACTAGATACGATTCGTGATCTTTTGATGTATCGTTGAAAGAAATCGGTTCGGTGAGAGCTGAGAAAAAGTGATAACAGACACAAAAAAAAACACATCATAGTGAAACCAATACCTTCTCAGCTTCGCATCGAATCTAAAATTAAAATGATCAAGTATTTATTATTTTATTAGAATCTGTAAACAGAACATTATAAATAATTTAAAAAATTTTTAAGAAAAAATTTTAAAAAGGTTAAGGTGAAAAATGAAGATACAAGTTATATATTACATATGAAGATTTATAAGTTATTTTAAAATTAATTATTATTTTCTGAGATTCAAGAGGTTTGCTTTATTTAATTATCTCACTAATTTTATGCATTTTATAAGTGGTAATTTACTTATCATTCACCATTTAATTGAAAAATAAGAATAATATTATATTTATTGCTTTCTTTTTTAGTTCAATATTTTTCTCAATATATCATTCATAAAGTATTTTTTTAAAGTCACTGATCTTAACAATTTTTGGACCACTATTCCAAAAGTTATTAATATTTAAATACTGAATTGAGGTGAAATAGGTGCTGCTATTTTTATAACTAGACATTTTCTGGTCATACTCTTCCTACCGCCTAGGTATAAACATGTTAGTTAATAACTTCTAAAATACTGGTCTAAAAGTTGTTATCAATCAGTCATTTTTTAAATTAGATCATTATCTAATAATTAGCTACTTAAATATTGTTATAATTTGAAAAATTAAAGTTAATACCTTATGATTGATAAATTTAGAATATTATTGTATTAAAAAAAAAAAAAAATTGTCATTTTAATTTTTCAATTAATTAAGTAGTTTACGTTAAGTGAATCCTCTGTAATTTAGAACTATCTAAAATATTTTTTAGGGATCAACTCAAATTTTGGCATTAATTTCATGTATAACATTAGTTTTTTTTGTTATTATATAAAGGTGTGGCATAATGTTTCCAAAATTAAAATTATTTTACGGCAACCTTCACCATTATGCAAAACATTTCATTTAGAAGAAATAAAAGTTTATTCTGATGTTCTGAGATTTGCTAAACCTTTTTGTGAAGTAATTACTTATATTTTATATTTATTTAAAATGTTAAAAATTAATTTCTAATTAATTAGCAAAAACTTCCAAGCTTTCTTATCCATAACACTCAAGAAGCAATTAATTTCAAAGCTAGTTCAAAAATGAATGAATCATACAAAGCTAATTTAAATAAGGTAGATCACTTTTATTTGACACTACATTAATGTATAATCATCATTTATTGATTTCAGTTCTTTAAACCTAAAAGTTATAATACAGAACAAGTGGATAATACTTAATTCTTACAATAGGTATAAAAAAATAATTAATTTTATTGTAATATTTAGAAAACAGATTTTGTATCCTTATCCATTATTACACTTTAATTGTACTTTAATGATATTAAAAAATCAGTCTTAGTATCATACAGTAATATTACAGATATAACTAAAGAAGTTACAAGGATTTCAGGACACAGTCTATCTTGATTTTAAGGAAAATTAAATAATAATAATTTAAATTTGTTTTATTGCAAAATTTATTTCATTAAGTGACATGTTTGTACACTTTAACTACATGAATTAAAGTATTTTGGTGTTTCATTTTTTTTTTTACAATTAAGAAACAAGTTATACATTTACCATTTTTAATTTTCAATTAAATTTTATAAATAAATTATTAATAATAAATATATATTATTACATGTAATTATTAATATGGCCCTACATAAAAAATGTATTGAATTAAAGTATGCATTTCATGCTTAGTTTTTTTAAACACACAAGCACACAAAAAATAATAATTCACATAAACATTACAAAATTTATTTTTAAAATGATGTTTCAAGAAAATTGAGATTTAAAATCCCTCAGACTCGCTTTTAAATTCGTCGATAATATAATAAAAAAATTGCTAACATAATTATTAAATGAGCTTTAGGATGTATCACAGGCTTATCACTTGACACAAGAATATTATTCCTGTTTTAGAAAATTGAAACAGTCTATTAGATTTTAATAATTTTATTTAAAAATTAAAAATAATTAAATTTTGATAAAATTTCGAGTCCAATCTTTTATTTATTTATTTTTGGATTATATTTAAATTAAATATTTTAATTAATTTGAAAATTATAGTCAAAATTTTGAATAAAATAGAACAAAATATTTTATTTGATACTGAGTTAATACTGATAAAATAATACTCTTGTAGCTGTAAGTACGTCGGGAAATTATGGAGTTTCATAAATTAATAAATACCAATTATGTACACACATTCACACTTTAAAAGTAACATTGGCTTATAGGACTGAGAAGATTTTTGTACATTAGTTTGGTGATAATTTTATGTAGTAGAGTATGATTGTCTTCCAGCCAATTCTAGTAAGTACCGGTCAGGATGATCAAGCCATTCTTTAGATGTCATTTTTAGAGTTCGATTTTTCTCTACTTCCTTAATCTGCCACGTTTTAATATCAATTTGCATTTCACTGTAATATTTTACACATCAATATTATTCAATTTTTAATTGCTTCATTTTTACAAATGAAGCTGGTTAAAAATAATAAAACTATTACACCAAAAGGAAATTACCGATTTTTTGCAGTACCACAACCCCATACTTCAATGCTTTCTAGTTTATAAGGTACTTCGTAATGAGTTACATACTGAAAAGACTCGTCAACTTGTATAGCTGGTTTTCTGGGATCATTACCGGCTCTAATACCTTTAGGATATCCACGTATTGACGTATTCAAGTACATAGATTTAGGGCCACCTGTTAAAATATAAAATTTAATTTAACAATAATAGGAGGATACTAATTGACTTACGATTTATCACTTTATATTGAGGAAGTAGTTGTAATATGATAGAGTCTTCTCCGCCCCAATATTGATGCGATTCTCGCCATTCAGTAGTAGCACCAACACAAAAAAGGACACCTTCATCGCCACGCAGGAACGTCAATGTTGGTCCTCGGTAACTTAACACGTGATGTAGAAATCTAAGTTATAAGAGAGGAAAAACAAAATATATGTTTTCACTGGTTTTTCCAAGCGAATTTTTTATTAGCACGCAAAAAGTTAAGGAATTATAGTTGATATGAAAGTTATAAATATATTTAGATAAAAAGTAGTTACTTGGAAATAATTACCTATTACTTCCGATACCATGTTGATTGCTGTTGTACAAAAGTGTCCAATGTGATGGACACGAAAAGTCCAACTGTAATAGAAATATAAAACATAAAAGCTCGGATGCTTTCAGTTGTTTTCTATTACCACTAATACTAAGAATTCTCTAAAACCAAGGCACGCCATAATTATAGAGAATTATTGTAAAATAAAATATGTGGTTCTCTCTATTACTCCAGTTTTAATTAATGAAATTGAATTCATAAACAGTTAAATTGTAATAGGTCACACTCTGTTAACAACTATTTGCCATCCTCCTCCTATTGATGTTAAATTTTTTTCTCATGGCCCCGTTAACTACAGCTTATAACGTAAGTAATTTTACTTATAAAATAATTTAATGCAAACAACAAAGCGTGGGTCAACATAGAACTTTTTTATTTAAAATAATAAAATAAATGAGCACTATTAAATAAACTGTTTATAACTATTAAAATTTCTTCGTTAAGGTATCAAATAATTTGTATAATTGATAAATACGTGTTGGAAAACTTATAAATGTGTATCAGAAATTACTATAATTACAATAGAAATAAAATTAATAATCTCACGAATGTTATTACAATTACCACGAAGTCTAAGTGTCTACGTTAAGCTAATATAAAAATATCGGATGATGATTCAAGTCGTTGACAAAGTAATTTGACCTACAAATAATCTTTATTTCACAAAAACATAATAACCTATTCTAAAACCAACAAATAATAATTACATGACAGATTATTCGCACTCTCTAATACCAAGTCGTCACATCATCAATGTACAAATTAAAGTCAACGAAAAAGCTGTTAACCATAAAAATGTTTGCTTTATACAATTGTTGATAAATTAAAAATCCACTATGGTATAAAAAAATGATACCATCTAAAGATTAAATAATTATGTCAAAATTTAGGCGGTAAGGTGTCCATAAAATAATAGATGCGAGACACGCGGGTTCCACTTTCCATCTAGCACAACAAGAACAAGACAATATTAAAGTTATGTAATTTGTTTTCTTTATTTAAATATCTTATCGTCACTTTGAAAAATCGCGTTTAATTAACACCAAGGACTAATCGCGAATGAATCATAATTTTGTTTTAAAATGCACGTATTCTTCTGTCAAATCAAATAAATTTAGTAACACTAAACGCATTTTGAATATTTATCACACGTAACACTTTCAATAATCATTGTAGAAGTTTTAAATGGAATAGGAAAGAATGGGTCACATTGCAATTAACAATGCACCCACGCTAATAAGAACATTCGTAATGAAAAGATAAATACAATAAAATCCTTTTAAATACCACAAGACAAAGTGTAATTGTGAGCCTCTCAGCACTAAACACTAAGGTCAACAATTACTACAATTCCTTTTCTCCAAAACATTAACAAATCACAATGAGATAATAATAAGAATCAAATAAACACTACATATCCGTCACTGAAATTTAACTGAGAATTATAAAAAGATAAAACAAAAGATTTTTATTTGCTGTAGGATGATAATGAAAAAAAAAAAATTAAAAGATTATTTTACCTCTTTTGTAAAGTTGAAATTGGCAGATAGTATAATTACAATCAACTACAAAACGACCATTTTAATAGAAAAAATAACTAGAAACTATTTCCGTGGCCGTTTCGCTTGACCTACAACCCTGACGTGTTATTTAAGGATAAGGACTAAAATTAATTTATTATTTGTTTTATGGAAGGGGCGTACAAATGTCATAGCAAGTACATTCTAACATGACAATCTATTGACAATAATAGGTTGATCGATTATTGGAATCTTAACGATTGCCCGCTATTTTTATTTTACTCGTCAAGGACAATTGACATTGACCTTAATGACTAAATAGTATATCACGGTCAATACGTTAGATTGTATGATGTTATACTGATAAACTATATACTATACCAACACTTTTTTAATATTCAATATCAATTCATGTAAAATGTACAGGAAAAAGCTACGCGAACCTTATACTTAAAAATTGGGCGCTACAGTATCATATAAATTAAGACTTGCTCAATTGATCTTGAGTTAAATTTCATATAAGGAAATACACACTTGGGTGTAGGTATTACAATAAAATTTAAAATGAAGTAATATCAAATTAATGAACTTGGCCTCTAAATATGAACAATCTGGGGTTAATTGAAAAACAACATTTTTAGTAATTAATCTTAATAAGAAATATGAATAAAATGAGTACGGTATAATATATATATAAAGAATAATTTACCATAAAATATTGTAAATGTTTAATATAAAAATACATGAATTTGTATAATATAGTTAAATATTAACTTTGACTATGTATATTATTTTATAAGTGAACAAAGAAAAAATGGTTGTTTTTATTTGACGAAAGAATACAAATATTTATAAAAACATATTATTTTTTTATTAACTCTTGAAGTCTAAGAGCGATGTACTATTTTTAGAAATATGAAATAATTAACTAAAGCTTGTAAATGTAAAAAACATTTGTAATTAACTACTATTCAACAATCTAGAATACATATTTAAAATTATTTAATTAAAACGAGGAATAAAAATTTAATATTATAATATAACCGCGGAGTTTTCATATTATCATATGAATTCTGATGTGGTAATAAAAAATTTCACGAGTATCAAGACAAAATGTACACATTTTGCATATTTGAACAAAAAACGACATTGAAAGCAGGAAGCGCATGAAAACTAAGGATAACTGAAATTCATTTTTTTGTAATAGGTAGCAACATTTTATTGAAAAAAAAACGAAATACAGATAGATCTCTTCGCAATTAATTATTTAAAAATATAATTTAAAATAATAATATTAATTTAAACCATGATAAATATTTAAAAAAACTGAAAATTGATTATTAGTTTTGTCTTTAAAAAATTATATTTTAAATTATCAACAATAATTCAGGAGATCAAATCTTGAATGATTAGAAAAATTAAACTCCGAGTACTTTAAATGTTTTTATTAGTTATTTCAATTTTAATAAAAAAAAATATACATATTGAACAAATTAACATAAACGAGGTCATTTTTTATTTAATCTAGGGAACAGTATTGTAGTATTTGACCTCTATCGATAATTTTTGGTACGTTTTTTGAGTAAACCACTGTGTAACTACTACTGACACTAGCAAACATATATTATATGATCAAATACATATGTAAAAAGTTATGCTGACTAGAACTTCAAATTCAGGTAGGACTGCATAAGATTTTGTCCCTTTCTAACTAACAATATAAAAATGACTTTTTGAACAATATTTTTTTTGCACTGGTAAAATTATATCAGAGTAAATGACTATTTTGAATATATTTTTTATAAGAGAGAATATAAAGTCTCTCAGAGAATTTCTTTGTTTTCAATAATTGAAAACATTTATTATTATAAATCATAATAAATTTAATTTTAATGTTTTCAAATGGTACTGAAATAAGTTATTTTGAGAATATACACTATTGACTACTGGTTGTTGTTTTGCGTTTATGATCAATAGTAATATTTTGATTGGAATAAACAATTAACTATTAGTTAGAAGATTAAAATGTTTTCGAAAGTCTTTTTAAATAATAATAATAATAATAATATTTTCTTAAGGAACATTAAGAATTCATACTATAGTAGAGGTTCATTACAGTAAAAATTCACATCAATTATTCATTAAAAATCCATTATAATCAGTTATTTCATAAAACTACTTTTATAATAACAGTGATGAGATTATCGCGTATATATTCAATCGATTCTCTGTGTATGAAATACATCATTGGTGAAATGTATGTAACGGTATTTGGTAAATAATAATTCTTATTAACAATAATGACATAGAGTGTGATGGTAGCGAAATAATTAATGATTATCTCTCCCACCGGATCTGTGTTACATAAAAATTTTACAGTTAATAGAAACTGGTTTTACGTACTGCAAAATCATCATTAGTAGGTTTACCAGTTGTAATTATTAGTAGACTGACATTAGTCGCGAAACAAAAAATTTGCATACCACTTTAGATACGAAACGAACAAAAATAGTGAAATTTCTAGGCAACTTTCTTACAATGTTCTTTAAATGATCTTTCAACAATGGAGACAACGACTAACAATCAAACAAGAACGTACCACATATATGTGGTACGTTTCAATTGCATTTTAACGATAAAATAAACAGACCTCGTACGTTGGTATTTATTTTTCATACCATTTGTTTGTTAAATCAATAACCAAGGTATCTGAAGAAAATTAATAAAAGTTTCTCAGTTAGTCCGAATGAATAGGCACTATCCCAAATGAATATAATCATCTAAACGATAACAGTAAAAACTTAAAAGGAAAAGAGGCCTGAATAACTTTTAATAGGATATTTATTTTATTTGTTTTATAGAAATATTAACAGATGGGTAAACATTTGAGGCGTTCATGTGACGACGAGGTGTGTCATCGATAATTTATCTAATCGTAATATCAAACAAAATTTATTTGAGTGTGATGGCTTAATCATATGAAAATTCAGAATAGATAATAATTTTATACCCACTAATTATTTTAAAGTACAATTAAAATAAAAACTTACGAATTTTGATAGGAAATTTTGTGTATTAAAGCAATTTGGCGTTGGTTTGGAATGCAAAATAGGTTGGGTGTACAACGCTGGTAAGGTAGTTGACAATATCCATACTTGAGATAAAGGCAATAGTGGATTTTTCTCAGCTTTGAAAACATTTTCTTTTTCCAAAACCGGAGTTGTCAACTCGAGATCCTACAAAGAAAAAAAAAAATTACATTACTTTATTTAAAATCTCACAATAGATAAAAACAACAGTTACTCACATTAAGCTCCTAACATGAGAAGTATATCCCAATATTAAAATACAAATAAAAACCGTAATTTAAAAAAAAAATTAACTAATACAATGAAATAACACAAATAGTAGGAACAACACGTTTTAACGATCAATTTCTTTACGACCTTTCGTCTCTGACTGGCACTATCAATACTTTCTCTCCTTAAAGAGCACCTCTAAATTTATAATTCCGAAGCACTAAATAGATATTTATTTATTCATTTCGAATGAATTTAATTAACTTAAATTTGATGTAGTTACTTATTATTAGCATTACTTATTACCACAATGTAAAAAGTATCCAAAAATGTAGTGTATTATAGTATAATGTAACGTTTTGGCTCAATAATAAAGTATTTTTTTTAAAAACCAACATTGTCTATCGCCAAAACGTCCCGATTATTTTTTAATTCTTAATAAGTTAGATTTAATACATACATTTGGTTTGGAATATGGACACTTTTCAATCACAGACCGATAGCCAGTGGATAGGATGTGCACAATATACCGATGAAGCAACACAATCAACCGTGGACAATGTTGAAGGATCCAATTGGTTAAATAACCTACTTTGAGCGTAATTTTTTTATGGAACTAAAAAAAACAATTAAGATAAAAAAAATGTACCGAAGAAATAATTACTAGCCTTACAGCTGAGTCTACAATAGCTTGCACAGTTTTGAATATATATCGACACGATTGGGGTCCTTCCGGATAGTGATCCATCGCCAATTTGTATACAGCTAACAATAAATCCTGAAACTGATCTTGACGAATCTCCTCTTTTCCATCAGCGTACATCTAAGCAAACATTTGATTATTAAAAAGAAAATGAAGGAACATAACATATTTTATTGCACAAAAAATATTCAGTATTTCATAAAAAACCTTAGTCTTTAATAAAGAAAAAGAATAATAAAAATTCAGTGAAAAACCTTTATTGAACGAACAGTAATCATATTTATTTATTTTATCCTTAATTATATTTACATGCAAGTTTTGTTCAAACAAATTTGCGACACACCTGCTATGATTATCTATGATGACACAATGCATTTACAAAAAAATCTCTAGATCAATTGGTTGGATAAAATGATTACAGTTAACCAATATTCTTAATTATAAGTTACTAGAAAAAAATAGTCGTTTCCATACAACATAAAATTATAAAATTATTTTTACTACACTCAATTTTAAGCTATTTTAATGCATTTTAACTTTTGACAATTATGTAAAAACTAATTATTTTATAATAATTTTGGTAATTACATAATTTCTAAAATATAATAATAAAATAAGTAGTTTGTTTTATGATAATTACCCAAAAAACATTTTAATTAACGAAATAAACAATTTTACGAGCAAAAAATTACATTAAAATCGACTAAAAATAAATTCATTATATCATAAACGGTCAAATAAGTTCATAGAAATTAGTTCGTTCTAGTATCCGGTCATTATATTTATAACTGCCATTATAAACTATTAATAATCTCTGGCTCGTTTAAAAAAGTCTCTCGTATTACCTATTGTTTGACGTCAGTCGCAGTCAAAATTTTAAGTTCAATTATGTTTTGCACGTGTTTTATTTTATTTAACATATCAAGGTCAAGTGTATATTCAATTATAATTAAAATAATTATGAACAATTCTATAATTGTTACATTATACTTAAAGTTCAAGTAAAATTATTTTCTTTTGGTCTATTTACTCTATTTCAACAATCAAAAATTGTCATGGTTAGGTATTTAAGAGTAGTATAATTGTTAAAAATAAAAGATATGTTAATTTATTTGAAAAATAGTGAAGACTTACAAGAAAACATCAATGAAAAAAAAAAAAAACAGAAAAAATAGTTAGAATTATTTTATAGCAAACATTAATTGTCTACGAAAAAAGTCATAAAATAAAAAAAGTTATTTATTTACGAAATAGTACCTAATGCAAAACCTGTTATAGTCAAAATGGACTGATTTAACAAAAGGAAAATATTTTTCCGAGAAAAATCTACTATTGCGACGTAAAATGAACACAACCATAAAAACAATGCAACTTCTAGTTCTGTACATACGCGTCATGCATTGCATTAGTTATTTACTCAAATATAAAAAAAAAATAATATAAATTACAATCAATATTGAAACATTGACTTTATGAATAGATTTACGAACAATTGCAAAAATATTTATTTCTTTAAAATACTAATTTGTGTCCATTAGACCATGCACCCAAGAAATATTGATGGCGTTGGCGAAGGGGTAACTCTCATTGACCACAATATTAAAATAAAAAATAATAACAAAAAAAAAAAGACAACATTTGAAATTTTTTATTACTGCTTCTTCTTATTATGAAATTCTGACTAGAAATTATTATTTTTTAGTTATAATTATACCATTTTACTATGCGAAACGAATGAGGCAATAACTTCATAAATTCGCTTTTGGAATTGAGGTAGTTGAATTTAGGTTTTACTCTTCTTATAATAACTTTCATCAATATACTAACAATTTGGTTTGAATCAGAATTAAACTACTTGGAAAATTGATAAATATATAGGTGTAATCAGAGAGTAAATTTTATTTTTGATCTACTGAAAAGTGAGTTACTGCCTATTTATTATTATTAGTCATTCATATATTAGTTTAATGAGCTATAAAAAAACAAATTTGTGGTTAATTGAGTTATATTTTTCTTTAGGAATAATTTAATTATAGTATATTGTATAAATTATAATCAATTCTACAAAACCAATTAATTGGTACTTTAATGATAATTTGCATTCATCAATTATGAATATAATGTAATATAAAAAATATAATTGATCCTAATAATATTTAATCGATAGTTTTTACATTGTTATTATAAGTTCCATAAAAAACTTATACTGTGGAAAAAAATGAGGAAATAAACACTCATGCAAAATGATTCAAAAAATAAAAATTGGTTTGAAAAAATGTATTAATTAAAATTTGAAAGAAAATAAGATTTGCCGAAAAATTATAGCTTTTCGAATTTACAGAAGCAATTATTTTACACGTGATTTAGTAAAATTAAATGATTATTATAATATATTATATTGTAAATCAGTTTAAAGCGTATAATTTAAAAATAAGTAAAACAATCTAGAAACGGTAGTTAATATTTAATAGTTTAATATTTTATCTATCAATACGGAATAATAATTTTATTACCTTATTTAATAGGATTAAAATCATGCGAAGAAATTAAACTGTAATATTATTGACTAAAAGCATACCAATATTTTTCTAATTATTCCATTACATTAAAATTCAAAATAACAAATCTTTAATAAACCATCAGTTGTGCACAATTAAACATTCTAGAAACAAGTTTTATAAAAAAAAGTCATTATATATTAATAAGTAAGTTATTTCTAAATTATTAGATTGAAATATTTTCTTTTATTAATGTTGGCCAAATTATTTTTGTTCTTCTCTACTTGAATGTTTTTAAGTTAATAACTAAAAGAAAATAAGAATAACTGCAAATAGTAAAATATTAATCAAGAAATATTGTTCACCAGATTAAAAGTTAAATCGTATCAAACAAGTTGAACAATGCACAAGTATCATTTGATCATGCAACTGAAGCATGACGTTTTACGCAAAACTGTATTTATAGAAATGAGATTCTCATACTATCATTCTCGTAAAAAAAAAAGAAAAGAATGAAGTACGATAATTTATGATTTAAAATTATCGTAATGTAACTAATGAATCATAGTGTATATCATTCAAGATTTAGGTATAACCTACAAGGTTAAATATGATAGTCGGTCAAATACACAAATGAAGTAATAACTTATCATTTAATAGTAAATTAATATACAAGCAGTTTTAGCTTCGATGCGAAGCTGAGAAGGTATTAATTTTACTATGATGTGTTTTTTTTTTATTTTTTTTTTTGTGTCTGTGAACGCTCAATCTCAGCTCTCGCTGGACCGATTTTGATGAACAATATGTCAAAAGATCACAAATCGAATCTAGTCGAAGACATTACCCTCAAAAATTTAAAAAAATTCCCTCGTTCCCCGTAAACGGGGTAAATACCCCAAAAAATTACAAATTTAAAAATCGCTATTTTTCGATATTTTTTCAATTTTTTTTACTTAAAATTGCCTTAACTTTTTTAAAAATGATCGAATCAATATAATTTTTTTTTGTATAGATACCTTAGATATTTACCTATCATTTTATATATTTTTGTGAACATTTGACTCTTTAACAGCCCACAGGAAGGGTTTCAAAATGGTAACTTTTTTACAAAAAATTAACTTTTTCAACTTAACTTTTGAAAATGTTCCGGAAAGACTGACACTTTTATATATATTTTAAATTAAAGATAATGTAATATACTTTAATTTGAAAAAAAAAATTTGACCTCTGGACTTGTCTTCATGGTGAAAATGACTACCGTATGCAAAAATATGCAATTTTTTTGATAAAATTCTTGATATTTTAATATGTAAAAGTAAAAATTCATTAAACAGAACGAAAAAATTACGTTTCATAAATAAAAATTGTTAATTATATCTTTAAAGAAGAACTGAAAAAAAGGATTATTTCAAAATTTTTTAAAATTTTACATCATTAATTAAAATCAATAAATTTTTAATACATTAGAAATTATTATGAAAATGTTTGTTTTTTATGCTAAAATTGCTAACAGACGGATGATAACTAATTAAACGGGCGACAAAAGTATTCGTTGTAACTAGTTTAATACAGTACATATTACAAAATTATAATTTTTCAAATGAACTGGTTTCGTATGAAACCTGTTATTGAATAATTTAAAAATCATTACTTCACTGAGATAACCATTAATTTAAAACTGGAAAACTTATGTATATTTTTATGTACATCGTTTTCATTTTTCTAATAAAAATAACTATAATTTTATTATTTTAAATTCAATAGATTGCGTACTGTGACAATAAGTTTAAATTAAACTCATAAATTATTTCTTAACATAAAATTTAATTATTATTTAATTTTAATGAAGTAAATACGACACAGAACAATTTTCATAAAAACTAAGTAGGTACACAACTTAAGAAATTCGTTTTTTTTTTTTTTAAATTCATTAATCTATAATAAATATCACAATAAATGAAATGTTTTTATATGTGGCTCTAAAATGTTTATTAACTATCATCTGTCCTATTATGTTACTCGATACACATTTTGTATATACTACAAAACTATTTCCGCGAAAAGCGGGTTTTTATATACACATTGTTTTACTACACTAATATTTTAAAATAAGTATTTTTGGTAAATAATTCTTCGAAGCATCAAGAACTATAATTAATGTTTATTTTCTTTTATATTATTTTAATATACAAAAATGTTTTTAAATTAATTTGTAGGATAAAATTTTTGGTCATAGGCGTGCGCAGAGATTTAGTTTGGGAGCAGTAAAAATGTGTACATGCCCACAACCTTTTGTAAACGGCCTTTATTTTATGGAAGATATAAAGAACTTGCAAGACGATTATACCTGAAAACCAATTCCTTTTTACACCTAAGTTTAAATATGATATATAGTTAAGTACAACATTTCACTCTTTAACCCTTGGTAATTTCCTATTTTCTCTTTTAGTTTCTGTTATAACCAGAATAATATAATACATTCGAACAATAAAATCACCCTCTGTTCCCATTTAATGCACGCCTATGTTTTTTAAATAATATTTTAAGAAAATAAAGGATGATCTATTGGGTGAAACAAACAACATATCATTTAAGGGAGGTGAGAGTTAAAATGCTTAAAGGTAGATGGGTGATCCAAAAATGATAAAAAAAAGAGATATTCAATTAAAATTTTAGACTATTCATGATGTTGCATCTATGCAAAACTTACTTAGTTACTACTCAATATAATTATTTTTGTCATTCAATTTTTAAAAAAGTTATTAAACCAGGAATAACTTTAAAATAAAATTACCTTAAAAAAAACATTTAAATTTTATGTATTCATTGATATATTATCATAAGTCTAAGCCCACGAAAACAGTTATGTTGCAAGTTAACTTTCCTTATTGAAAAATAACTTAAAAGGTTTTCATATTTTTTAGATATTTTGTATAATGTTATAGTAAAACTTGAGAAATAATTCTTAATCAGTATGATCTCTTATCTAACTACTATTAAATAAAAAAAATCTATCAACCTAAGATTTTAGCATAATTATGAAGACTATGCAATTTGAATATTGAAATCTAAATAAAACTATATCATTTTCAAATGGCATAACCCATAATCATTTCTTTGAAATATGCATATTTATTTCCTGATGTTTGACAACAACAATGTGTTTCTTACTATTTGTGATGTACATACACTTTTACAAAAAATCATTAATATATGGCTACTTAGTGTTTTATCACAAAACAATTAATTACATTATGTTTATTTTTATATTGAAATTAAGACTAAGTTATAAAAATCTTCATGGAAATTAAAATACTAGTGCTATTTGCATCAATAATCAAATTTAAAATTTGCTAATAACAATGGAATGTGTGTTCAATATAAATTAATACATTTTTTTTCAAGTATAACATTATTGGATTATTAATACCTTCATCTAAGAAAGCAGAATAATGCCTCTTAACATAAGAACATTATGAAAAAATAAAAATAAAACTGAATAATTTAATTCAATTGGTTTTTATTTTATTAATGGACATATTTTATAAGTATTATTACTCACCATAACATACATTAATACTTGGCGGTCATCAGCCAATACACTTAGTAAACGTTCAGTTTGAGTTTTGAAATTAGTATAACTAATTACATGCGATGAAGCAGGACCTCCAGAAGAAGTCACTAAAAATGCAAACAATTTTCGGGCCATCTCTGGATATTGAGGAAATAAATAACGCTGAAAAAAATGAAATCAACTTGATAAAACTTATATTACAAAAAGAATAACTATATCAAATATAAAACTAAATTGCGTACCTTAAAAACACCACAGCCAATTCCATTTATTGCATCTTCTTCAAGACTTTTTTGTACAAGTAACTATAATAAAAAATATAAGTTCTTTCAATTAAAACAAAAACATTGTACAAATGAGTAACACTATACTTAACATTTCTATAAACATTCACAAATATAATAATTACATATAATTAGTATTTATACCCATAAATTCCTAAGACCAAAGAATACAAAGAATAAATTAGAAAATTATTTTTATCAGTTACATTTTATGTTTTTGTAGTTAAACATTTTATGGAATTATTAACATTTTTTATTTTACCAAGACTTTTGAATCTTTTATTAAATATAAGGATAATTTTATAATTTAATTATCTAAATTAGTACAACATACAATTTTATTTTATTTTAAAAATTTTATAAATATCTTTAAATAAAGAAATTGTAGATAAATTAGGAAAACAAAGTTATCTAGTCTAAATACATACTTAAAACATTTAGTTGCAAATTAGCAAATAATTATATATCTTTACACATCCTTATCCTTCTATAGTCATATTTGATAAAAAATCTACAACATTGTTATTAATTACAAAGAGTAACATACCTTTCCAAGTTTTTCCATTGGTAACATACTGAGAGTTGGATCTTTATGAAGTGAGTTAATCCTTGCATTATGTAGATGATCTTTGTGGTTTAAATTAAAACTATTATGGTTACCCATAGTAAATATTTCCGTAACAGTTAAAACGCGACGAATAATTTTATACACATTTATACAAAATAAATCTTTACAAATTAAAAATATTTAACATTTAAAACTAGAAGAGAAGAAAATACAAGACGAAAAATTAACTTTGGGGGCCGTCCGAGTGGCGATAGTACCGCACGGAGACCTATTATCAAGAGTGTTTCCGAAAAAATATATTCATATTTAATAGGTGTATGGTACAGTTGTTAAGTGGCAAAATTAACGTATTTTTTTTAATTATTAAGAACGGACGAATTTCAATTAAAATTAATTCCCGTCGTCGTCGTCACCACCGAATATATGCGCCATTGGATTGAATGAATGAACAAAACAACACTTGGAACACTCTTCCACGTACTAACAGCGCACAAGGACGGCACGCGTCGGGTTGCCGTCACGACAAATCGTAAAGAGAAATATATTTTGAAATGATATTTTCCACAATAAAAAGAGCAGGGAGAAAACTAAACATGAAGCGACAGTGATGATCCCAGATAGCAGCAGCAGTTCTCTAGCCTCTGTTTACTTTTTTTTATTAATGGTTATGAAAATGTAACATGATAGTACTATGTAGTGGTAAAGTAGTGATAATATATAGTATAGGTAGACGCAACATTCAGATATCTTATACAATGTATATAGATATAATTTAAAATTATATATTAAATCACGGTTAATAAAAATCTCATTGCAACCATTACCACTATCATAAAAGAGTCATTAACATGGTAAAATATCGTTACAAAGAACAAAAAAATTTCTTCTATCTCTGGCTTAAAAACTTAATAAATAATTATTGGTTTTATATTTAATAATAATCATAACAATTAGTTGGGATAAAATTTTATGATTAAAAAATATTCACTTATTTCTACATTTATGTAGAAGTATTTACGTTAAATTTCACGCCTATGTGCAGATAATAAAACATGTGTATTTAACTACGAATGCTCCGTATAGATAGCACTGCATTTTACATTTTATCAATTACCTGTATTGGCTTATTATTATCATTTTTCTAAGTCGAATTCATTTTTATATTAATTAGTAACATTCCATATTTGTGTTATATAAGTAATATCAAAAATTAATATAAAGAAGCTTAACCGAAATTCGTAGCAAATTGTTTGCTATAAACCTTGTACTTAAGTGAGGTATCCTTATAAAGGTTAAAATTAGTGAAAACATTTTATCCGTTAAAAAGTTCTAGAACGTAAATTCTTGGAAATTATTAAAAACAAAATTTATTTATTTTTTTTAAATTTACATCCGTGGCTCATATTTAAAATCAGATTTTTCACAAAAATGTATTCGCAAAATTTTTTATTATTTGTATAGAGGAGTATGTTACCTTTATTTACCAAAAAATTACAAGTTAATATTATTGGAAGGTTTCTTTTTTGATATTCAAAATAACTATCTCCATAAGAAACCATTGTAATTTTTAATTTGATTTATTGAATTAGTTGAAAAATTGCAAAAGTGACCATCAGCCTTTGAAAATTATCACAAATGTAAATTTAAATATTTTTTTTTAGCTTTATTTTAAGTTTAAAATTCAAATTCTCCAATCACATTATCTTTGCCGTATACTCAACGTCCCTTCTTATGAATTAAATGACACAAACCAAATAACTGCCAACTCCTTACCGTAAAACAAACTGCTATCTTCACACACAAAAAATTCCACAACCGATTCCAAAATCATTCGAATCCTCGCGTTCAAGTCCTTTCCTCCCAAATAATTCCCTATAATCCATCATGTTACCTAAAAACATTTTGGAGTAGAGATCTACTTCAATTATAAAAGTAATTGTATAATAATAGCTCTTTAATTTACTAAATTACTAAAACTAGTTAGGTTCCACAAGTTGTTTTTTTTTCAAAATTACTTCTATATAATAATATTAGCTTCGATGCGAAGGTGAGAAGGTATTAATTTTACTATGATGTGTTTGTGTTTGTTACCACTTTTTCTCAGCTCTCACCGAACCAATTTCTTTCAACGTCAAAAGATCACAAATCATATCTAGTCGAGGACATTACCATCAAAAATTGAAAAAATTTCCCTCGTTCCCCGTAAATGGGAGAAACCTCCAAAAAAATTACAAATTAAAAATCGCTAATTTTCGAAATTTCTTTAATTTTATTTACTTAAAACTACCAACTGCCAAAATAACTTTTTCAAAAATGAACTAATCAATATAGTTTTTTTACAAATACTTGATGTTTATACCTATTATTTGGTATATTTTTTTATAAATCTGACCCTTTACCTGCCCACAGGGAGGTATTTAAAATGACAACTTTTTCAACTTAACTTTTGAAAGTTTACGGGAAAGTCTGACACTTTTATACATATTTTAAATTAAAGGTTAGTACAGTTGGACTTTTGTTTTCACGGTGAAAATGGCTACCGTATGCTATTTTTGTGTTAAAATTCTCGATTTTATATTTTACATTTTTAAATTTAAAATGTTATAACTTTTTGAAAAATGTATGGATCAATACAATTATTTTATGAGAAATAATATTTATATCTTCTTTCATTCGACATACTTTTTTTTAAAATATCACCATTTCCCTTTATATACTTATATATTATAAATATATATAGATATTTATTTATTCATATATTACACTTATGAATCATAAAACTTGTAATCAGAATATAAATAAGGAAATAGGAAATCAAGTAGCTTTTAAAATAATCCATCAATTTTTTTAAATTAAACACTATCTACAGATTTGCATCAAAGCGCTTTTTTTTATAGTGATTTTAATCACTGTGAGATATCATTTTATACTTGACCCAACTATGCCTCATCCCCACTGTACCGCGACCCCACTGTACCGCGACTCCACTGTACTGGGTTATTTTATTATCATAATTATTTGTTAAAAGTGTCAGACCTTCCGGAACATTTTCAAAAGTTATGTTGAAAAAGTAAATTTATTGTGAAAAAGTTGTCATTTTAAATCCCCCCCCCTGTGGGCAGGTTAAGTGTCAGATTTACAAAAAAAATATACCAAATAATAAGTAAAGACATCAAGCATCTATATAAAAAAAAATTATATTGATATGTTCATTTTTGAAAAAGTTAGAGCATTATTAAGTTAAAAATATTAAAAAAAATTATTTTACCAAAATCGTATTTTTTTATTAACTTTGATGTCAACTTTCACCNCACATCATAGTAAAACCAATACCTTCTCAGCTTCGCATCGAAGCTAAAACAAATCATAGTGAAACCAATACCTTCTCAGCCTCGCATCGAATCTAAAATTAAAATGATCAAGTATTTATTATTTTATTAAAATCTGTAAACAGAACATTATATATAATTTAAAAAATTTTAAAAAGGTTAAGTTGAAAAATGAAGATTTTGTATTTTACATTTTTAACTTTATTATGATTTAACTTTTTGAAAAATGTATGGATCATTACAATTTTTTCATGAGAAGTAGTATTTATATACATCTTTCATTCGACATACTGTTTTTTTAAATCGGACCATTTCTCTTAATAGAGGGGGGTTCAAATCTAAAAACTGCATGTAGAAAGTAGAACTTTTTCAACTTAATTTTTGAAAGTGTTCCGGAAAGTCTGACACTTTTATATATATATTAAATTAAATCTTATGTAATGTACTTTATTATGCAAAAAAAAATTTTCAGACTTTCTTTAGTCTTCATGGTGAAAACAGACATCAAAGTTAATAAAAAAAATACGATTTTTGTAAAAAAATTATTTTTTATATTTTTAACTTTATAATGCTATAACTTTTTGAAAAGTGTATTGATCAATATAATTTTTTTATGGGAAATACTATTTTTTAATAATCCCTTTTTCATTCGATATACTTTATCTGAATCAGGATATTAATAACGAACTAGCAGTTTATGAAGCTTTTGGAATAATCCATCAATTTTTTAAAATTAAACACTATCTAAAGATTTGCATTGAAGCGTTTTTTTTGATAGTGATTTTAATCACTGTCAGATATCATAATACTTGATCCAACTATGCTACGTCACCACTGTGCCGCGACCCCCCTGTGCTGGGTTTTTTTGAAATAAATATTTATTGTAAAAATGTATTTACAAATATATTTGCAAAATTATATATGTCCAATAAAATATAAAAAACGCCCTGACACTTGTGAAAATAGGGCATCATTGTTAACAAAAAATGATGTTTGAAACACAATTTATATATTATCCTGGTCCAAATATATTTAAATCAATGCCATAACAACTTAAACAAAAATTGTACAACAACGCTAAACATAAACTCTGTTACTTATATATCAAAAAAAATAAATTAAATTATTTATTAGAAAATTAAAAATTATAACCCGTCTTTAAAATCTTAATTTTATTATATTTAGTAATATTATATATACCTAACTTATTCAAGAAATAGTTTGATCTGTATGTGTATATTGTATTATTTTAATTTGATTGTTTTTATTATAATGTAAGTCAGTAATCTCACCATATATTATACTTATTGGTTTGAATTAGCCATTATTTATTTAATATGTTTATATACATAAATAAAATATATGATACTAGTTCCCACTAAGCTGGGGCGCCACCCTAGATCGGGAATCTAAATATACTTTTTTTAAACCAATTTTATAGTACATCAAATATTTGCCATTATTAATTAGTATAAAACGAATATTGACTTAAAAAAAATAATCAATAAAAATTTTAGGTTAATATGAAATTTAACATATCATTAGCGGACAAAATTATAGTTGAAATTTGGGCTCGAAAAATATATATAATATTTAGAGTATTATGAATACTAAAGGATACGACCAGCTTATTGTAGGGGAAATCGAAAATAGGTTTTAAAGCGATTATACTGAATTTAATTTTAAATATTTCAATTATTATCTATTTAAACACGAAGAGTTTCATTGAAATGATTTATTTCGATATTAATTCAAAATAGTTATGACAAATTTAAGTGAAAATAACTACTTGAAAAACGGTGTTTTTTACAATAAAATAATAATTTTTGTCTAACTTTGGGAACCGTTTATTTATAAAAGAAAAGTTGTCGGCACAATATTTATTTCTTTGACTTGTAGCATGTAACATCTGTCCAATTATCAACTTTTTATAGATTTAAAGTTATCAGTGCGAATTGCTAATAATAGCGATAACTAATATGTTGGTAAACTGATCCCTAAGAATATTAAAATATAATTATTCCAGTTGGGACAGTGTCAAATTGTTTGAGATCTAATTTAATTTCCTGCCTCCTTAAAAATATATTTATATAAAATTACATGTTATTTTCATAATTATTGGAAACGGTGTAAGCCCTTTATTGATGTAATTAATGCATACATAAAATAGGGATACACGAAATCGAATATGCTCGATCGATCAGACTTGCAATTCCAATAACTGTTCTAAGCTTTATCAGTTATCCTAGACACTAACAAAAACAAACCATTAAAATGATGTAGTATTAAACAATAGTTCTCTTCCCTTCTTTTATTATCAGCTGATTGTAACTATACGTGGTCATACTGTCTGCCGTGACAAACTCGCGCCGGCGAATCTGCGAAATCCGATGGAGCCGACGACCGCGCGCACCAACACGAACGTTCGTAGTGCAACACAATCAGTCGTTGGCTCGTGTCGTCCCGGATGTGGTTGATCGTCTGTACGGTGATCGTAGTTATTAACGTTAATATTTGTGCGTGTATTAATTATTGTTTTTTTATCCTTTGCCTCTTGCAACTTTTGAATTCCGTAGAAATCACTTGAATATATATTTTATGCAATTTGCTGTATGAGGTAATTTTTAACCCTAGGACCTGAAAACCGCCTGCAAATGGTATCGTCTCTTCTCCGGTAAGTAATTCTTAGCTTAAAAATATATTGTAAGTGAAATTTGAATGCTAAATTCAAAAAGTGTAGATGTTAGTAAAACTATTTATTGAAGATGAACATTTTATAATNTGTAATTTTTAACCCTAGGACCTGAAAACCGCCTGCAAATGGTATCGTCTCTTCTCCGGTAAGTAATTCTTAGCTTAAAAAGATATTGTAAGTGAAATTTGAATGCTAAATTCAAAAAGTGTAGATGTTAGTAAAACTATTTATTGAAGATGAACATTTTATAATTATAAATTTTTTACCGTAGTAAGTTAATTACTATTACATTATCAATAAATTAAAATACAAGAGACTTATCCACTTTTAAAAATTATCTCCTTGATAGTTTTAATTGGCAAACTAACTTTTTAACAACTGATAATATGTTCAAAAGACTTTTTTCAAAATTTCAGCTATCGAATTTCGTAGATTTACACTTTTAAATAATTTATAATTAAATTTTTTTTTCTAAAAGTTATTGAAAACATATTTTTTTCTTCTTTAAATTTATTGAATAAACTTGAAGTAAAATAAAAATGTATCTAGTAAACATTATGGTATGACATAATTTGCATAAATAGTTTCATAAAATTTAAAAACATTAATGTTATCTTTTTCTTTGAATTTTTTAAGTACAAGTTCATTATTTATACTTTGAAGGAATATTGAAAATAAATCAAATTTATTTCAAGCTTTCCCAACATTTTTCAACAATTAAGCTTAAGATTTGAAAATAAAATTTCCAAGTTAATTTTATTCGGAAGTTTATATTTTTTTGTTATGAATCTAATTATATAAGTAAACTTTAATGTGAATATTTTTTCCAGGAGCTTTTTCAATTGTTATAAAACAAATTTACACTAGCATAATGATATCACAACTTGTGTTTTCTAGGAGCATGCATTTTAAGGTTAATTTAGGTTAAACGGCGTTTACTGAAACCGTTAACATCAGTGTTGAAAGAATAAACTACGGGCGCGCGCGTAGGTCTATCAATTCACTTTACTGTTGGTTCGTTCAACCCGATTTTTCGGTCGTTACTCTATTGTCTAATATCGAGATGAAGCGTGTAATACTTTTTAGTGTCTAGACCAATTAGTAATTTTTTATTATTTATTTATTGCTTTCGGAAAAATTATTATTATTTTTTTAATTGTAATAGATTTAAAACAATGGGGACCGGACTACTCGAAATAAAATTTTAAACACATACCTTGGAAGCGAGTTGACCACAATATTCAATAGTCGAATTCAGTAGTCTCCCCGGTATTTTAGATATGTTCAAATATAAAATCTACAATACCCTATATTATAAAGGCATAGTTTGTTTATCTTTGTTAAAATAATTTATGTGTTGACATTTTGTTTAGATTTCAAAGTAATGTTTACTATTTTCTCACCTTAACAGCCTGTGGGTTTTCATTATTTTAATGAGCATTTTTGCTATAGGACAGGACCCTAACCCTTTTAGATACCTTCCAAGGACCGGATTACGTTTTTATGACTTAGAATCAGTAATAAGATTTTGTAACCAAGTCGACAACTTTATATGATGGGCTTGATTGTGTTAGGAAGCAAGTGATAATTACTGTATAGACCCATTTTTTCATGTAGCACGTTTTTAAAAATATATTGAGACTATAACCATCCAAGATGAAGTGTTTAAACTTCGCCTATGGTGGTCACACAAATACACCCAAGTATTTCTAAAAAATTGAAGGAGTAAATGTATATTTGAACTTATGCACTTTCGTCCAGGATGAGCGTCTCATTAATGGTTTTACCTTTAGTAACAACAAAAAAGTTTGCGTGGAAAACAGCTGTCTCCACCGAAGTCATTGGCCCTAGAAATTCTTAACCGCGAAATGTACGGTATTCCACAGGAAATGATTACCACACGTGTTATCATTGTCGTTTTTGTACTACCCGGAAATTGGAAACTCAAATCTCAATCACTTACAATATCTTAAAACTTCTAAGCGCGGCCTTTGTTGTACTCCATTGTGAGCATCATAATAGACGCTTTTTGTATGGTCTGCTTCGGTGTGCCGGAACAAGGTAGTGCAAATAGAACCCGCGCGTCGGTCAATCACAATAATCATTACAGTTTTCCGACAATTCAGATAACACAGTGGCGGCGATTTCCCCTTTCCGCCATTCCTGTTCGGTCATGACACCCGCAGCGAACGATGCTGTTCGCCGAGTACCGCCGTGGAGCGTCCGCTAGACCATCGATCGTACATTGAAATAACAGCCGTTCCGCACTGCGATATTACGGTCCGCGGTCTACGGCCGGCCGACCGCCCGCAACATAACGGGTCGTCAGACGACAGACGGACGCCGCCGCCGCCGAGTACAGTTAACGGAGAACAACATGTGCCACGGGTTCATCAAACGTACAACACGCGTAAACCCTCTAACCTCACAGCCGCCGTTTGTCTTTAACGATTCAAATTATTTTCACGCGCTGTTCCGCTTTTGGCTGTGCGTAAACTGTGCGTGCAATGTAATTGTACCCATTGCCAATAACAACAACAAATTTCAAAAATTCATTATTTTTGCAGGTTTTAATGTTTCAACTAAATTCAACAAATGTTTCTTAGTCGTTATCGTAATAAATTCTCTTAACACTTTATTAGTATGCATACAATTTGTACGACACATGTTATCAATTTCATTGAACCCAGTCAAAAAAACACTTTAATAATGCTTTTAGCGTGAGCTCTGCTCATAAGTATCAAAATATTTGTTTTTTCTATAATTCAATTCGGCTTTCGATATAAAATTTGTTTTAACCATTTGGTATAAGAAAAAACCATACACTGTACAGTTTTATCGGTATTGTAAAAAAGNAGTATCAAAATATTTGTTTTTTCTATAATTCAATTGGGCTTTCGATATAAAATTTGTTTTAACCATTTGGTATAAGAAAAAACCATACACTGTACAGTTTTATCGGTATTGTAAAAAAGAAAAACATCTGCTGATGTCAATTATTTCAATNAGAAAAACATCTGCTGATGTCAATTATTTCAATATGTTTCAAACGTACTACTCGGACAACATTAAAATTTATGTAATAATTTAAATATTATGTTAGTCGACTAATCTTAAGATGAAATTTACATTGTAGGTACTCGCAGAAAAATGGAGTTATTTCAATCACGAGTGCAGTTGTAATTATACACGATTATACGTAGATTTTCACCTAAAACTAGTAGAGTGTTGATTTTAATTACATTTAAAATACAACACTAGATCATATGTGACATTATCAATTTGAGAATGTTGCTTGTAGTTAAATTTGATATCAAAATTAATCTAAACCAAGAGAAAATTTTACTATAACTTTTTCTATTTCTTATTTTGGAATGTATCAATGTTGGACATAATGTATTAAATTCGACGGTGTAGTCGACGTAAGTTTAAAAAGACTCAACCTGACCCGTAACTCAAAAACAACTCCAATAATTTTATTACTGTTAATATTATAATTTTAGCGAAAATACCAAAAAAATATTAACATAAACTTCCATGATCACGTTTGAATTATTAAAATGTTTGAACGGCTTGTTTACTGTAATAACAGAATCATTAATTCGATATATAATAAATATTTGATGTTAATATTCATTATGGTTAAGAAGAAATAATTAAATATCAAATTGTTTGGATCAAATGTAAATGATTTTTTATTAATTTATTGTAAAATTGTTATTTTACTCGAGTATATAGCCATACACGGTATCAACATACATCAATTTGAGAGGAACATAGATTTGCCGACCAAGTACAAGTTTATGGCCGAATGATATTTTTTTCATCATCAACGCTGTAATTTTGCTTAGTAATGATGATTCATTACTGTCAGCAATAATATATCATAATTTGTGGAGAGATTTTTACACCTTCTTTGATCTTCTCGTACATATATAGCACTGGTTCCGCTTACTTAAACTTACACAGAAATTAATTTTTGTTTTACTACAACACAGCCCATTGTTTTTAATTAATTTAATTTCAATATTGTATCACGTGTAACTAACACCATCATTAGTTATAATTTCATAGTCGATATCAACCAGTAGATGATATTGTAGTTCTTAAGTTTTTTAACACGGAGTTCTTTTGTCTGGAATTGTCAATAGCATTTATTTCTTTTTGAGTTTATGTTAAATGGCAGTATGTATTTTGTGATGACGTACGTAGGCAATGAACTCGACATTAGAACGAGTATTGTCGCGTGGCGCTATCACTTTGCCCTTGTAAATCGTAGCAAGTTCAAGATGATTATACAATTAGTCATAACCGTCGATAGAATGTGACGCGTAAAGCTTCTGTGATATCCATTTGGAGTCATTTAATCGATTTACGGTTTTCTGTTTGTGCGAGATTCAAATAGTGCAAGGCGAACATAAATGTTTTCCGTTTAAATGTTTTAAAAATTATGACTCGGAGAAAATTCAAAGAAGAAGAAATGACAGCGATATAATTTTTGTCAATCAATTATTTTCTCGCTTATTATTACAAAAGAGATGACTGTAAAAAAAAAAAAAAAAAACGCTTAAAACGCACAATTACTGTACACATCAGTATATATAAAACAGAAAAAAACAAAGCGACCGTTGACGCGATGATATAGCAACACGGCAATAATAATATTATAGTAACGGAACACGGAGGCAGATCATTGACCCACGTTGTAGTAGGTACTTGGCGCGGTCGGTCACTGTCCTCCGTCGCTCCTCCTGAAAATTAGACTTTTTAGCCAACAACTTTCTTATCTCCAGTTAAGCTTATCTCATTTCGACGATAACCATTACTTGTTTGTGTTCTGTGATCTCGACAGTGTGCCGCTGTGCTGTAATATCAAATTAAAAACTTATGGCATATTTACTGGCATTTGTATTCCATCCATGCGCATATTATTCACCGTCCTTCCTACGCATTGCGGACAATTTTAATGTCAACCAAGCGAATTTTGCCAATTGATTATCGACCAACTCTTCCGGTACACAAGCCATACTTACGTAAATGTATTATTGTATGATCCGGTTTCTAGTAATGCTTTTATGCGATTTACCCTTATTGCCGTGAAACCTGAAAAAATGACCGAAACCGCTACCGAGTTATTTTAATATTTCTACGGATTCATAATATAACCGTCTTAATATTTTTAAATGTCCAATATTGCTACTCGACTTAAAAATTAAACCGGTAGGTCGGTAATAACATATGCATAATATTTTTTTTATACATTTTAATAATACGAATTCGTAACTACTACTGCTAAATAATTATTATGATGATTTTATAAACCATTTTGTGTACCACATTTATTGCTTTCGTTTATCAAATTTTAATTTTTAATAGATTACTCATGATAAAAAATACATCTACAATTAATAGTTTTCATCAATATTATAATTGTCAATGGTGAACACTATGTATTGTTGTGTTCACGTAGTGCTTGGCCAAATTCTCGTGTAATTTAGTAGTGCAACGTTCCCATGGAGTGATAAACAAGCCATATTTAATGCAGCTTGACAATCGTCAGATATTTACATAACGGCCATTAAACGTTTACAGTACACCAAACACTTGTAATGCCATTGGCCACGGAGAGTCACTTGAAAAAGGCGAACCGTGTACATTAAATGATAAGCAAATATTTATTGCATGCAGAGTTTTAATTCATTACACGCTAAATGTTGTTTGCATTTTTCGTACCTAATGTTATTAACACTTTTACACGGTTAACTGTATAGCATAGAAACGCACAATTCAAGATCATCGTTAAAACTTGTCGCGTGTTCTCTGTCAATGTAATCGCACCCAGCCACAGTCCGTTGGATCATTACACAAATCAAAGTGAAATTCGCGTTGTACTACGAATGTTGCGACTGACCGAAATAAACGATTCCGAGTAATTGTATTGTTTGTTTTGTACAATTAATGGTACGTGAACCTTATAGACATTTTCTCATTGGTAAGTCGGTTGTCTCACGCTCCGTGTAAAAATAGCTACTGAACTTTGTAATTATCGAAAACATTTAATGGATTTCAGAATAGCCTGCGCAGTTTTTGGTGATAATAACACCGTGATGGGTGTGCCTAAAAGATTAACGGCCGATTGCGGTGTGCGTTGACCCCTTCGGGCGGCGGCCAAATCCGATAGACTAGATTCCGCGACCCGTGAAAGAAGGAACCTGTTGAAAAAAAAATAACAGCGTCGAAATAAGCGGAAGCCTTCAAAATGCTATCATCATCTTCCTTCTTTGTCTCTTCTACGGCTTTCTGCAACACATCGCTAATATTATTGAACCGCAACGACCGCGAATTTAGCAAAAACATAATGTGCATTTCATAACTAAATAAAATAAGCAATTTTAGCTGATCTCTAACGTCCTCGTAGATTATTGGACTTTTAAAACTAATGCATTGATAAAAAGTGTCAGACAACTAGATAATTTTTTTCGATATGACGTAATGTAATGTTATTGAATTTATCTATTTTTTCTTTCTGCAATTCATTTGTTTTTGTTAATTTATTTTTTCCACGAAAAAGAACATTTTAGAAAAACAATTGTTAAGGAGGAAGATAACTTCTTTATGGCCAACTGGCAAAAATAAAAACATTTTAATTCATTTCGGTTGATTAACTGATCATTGGCTTGTATTGAATAATTTTTTAGAATTATGAACTCCTGTAACAGTACACGGCTGTCTAGTTAAATCATTGACAAGGCTATCGAGTATCCCGTTAGATTATTACTGACTATTCTTAAAATTAAAGTTCATCTTTTTTTATCGTTTACGACTATTGTAAAAATGATTTATTAAAAATAATATTTTTACAATACTAAGTCTGCTCTTGCAGACATTTTTTTTTTATATATTTTCCTTCTTGTGTGTAAAATAACCAATAAAAAACTACCCGTAACTAAAAACCAACAATCTTATAGCACTGAATGAACCGGTTGTCAGTAATAAAATACTATACGTCGGCGTAACAGCATGTGCAAGTATTTTTTTTTTGTTTGTGCAGATACTATACCTCTCTTTGTGTCTACTGTTTATTTTTGACCAACAGTTTTAATAGTTCGGTTGATTTTTTGTCGTTCNTGTAACAGCATGTGCAAGTATTTTTTTTTGTGTGTGCAGATACTATACCTCTCTTTGTGTCTACTGTTTATTTTTGACCAACAGTTTTAATAGTTCGGTTGATTTTTTGTCGTTCATCCTCCTGTGGCCGGGTCATGTTAACGAAAAACAAAAGAATCATCGAACCGTGTGACTATACGAAAGGTGCGGCAGAGGAGTCTGTCCCGTACGTTTTAGGGACTCGTTTTCGGCGAACTTGGTTTATATACGTTTTTTACTATCGTTATACCAAATTAATGACATGTGTGAACGCTACACAACAATTTTCTTAACGTTCAGTTTAGTCTCAGTTAATTATTGCTGTTGCAATGGTTCAAAAAATCAAACTCGATCCCTATTTTTTTAGATTTTTGCGTATGAAAACAAAAATTCAACATTTTTCAATTTACTGTTATCTTAATTTTCATCTTCTACACATTCAAGGTTAGTACCACTACTAAAATTCAAACAAAAGTTACTAGCATAAATATCACACGAAGACTTGAAATCAATAACGTGCTAAATGTCAAAAAAATGATTTTGAGTAATTCATCATTTTGTGAAATTCCAAATAAATTCTAAACCAAAATGTAAAACTCTTAATGAACTTATACTTACTAACTACTTATGAAAAAATATTAACATTTGCTCCCTTTACTTTTCTCTTTATTGATATTTATATTTTTTAATTTATTTTCGATTTATTTAAAAACAATATCCATCTTTATTTCACCTCTTTTTTTTTCCTAACTTAGTTCGTTTTATGTTTTATTGAGCTTGTCACTAGGTATATTTTTCGGTGAATAACCTAATTTAAATTATTTTAGCACATAACACGTTATTAATATTATTATCATATTTTATTCGATATTAAATATAAAAATCACGGTAAAAAACCTTTTCAAATTTGCATTAAAGCTAATAATCAACTATAACTGTTTAATTCAGTGAACTTGTTTGTATTTTTGTACTTATGTTATTTATATGTAATAGGATGAGCTATGGTTCAAAAATATGTTGACTTGAATAGTATAATCATTTAAAGTACTTAGAAAAATTAAAAATAACTTTTTTGAATTTTTAATATTAATTCTTGCTTTATTTATTTATCATTTTTAACTCTTTAAAAATATAATTATATCAGTTTTGAAGTATTTTTCCCAGCTTTATCTTATTTTTAAAATAATTAGTGAAATTATAAAATGCAAGATCTCTTTAGGATAAACGTAAACAAAATATACATTTAGTTTTCCTTATTTATGCATTGCGAAATTGTTATTATAACACACAAAATTAAATGAACGACATTTTAATTCAAGTAATAATTTATTTTGATGTCAGTTTTAATAAAAGTTGCATTGCACCAATATGGAAACATTGGTGTTAATTGATCGATTTAAATTTTTCTGTTATTCTTTTTTGTACATTATATACGATAACGGAAGAAAAAAAGCCGAATTTTAATCGGAGATAAATTATAAATGTATAACAAGTGGCTCATTTTTTGAAGGGCCCTCGATTTTACTATAGAGAGAGATATATTGCCGAAGGATAACTAAAAATATATTTAAATATAATCATTATATTATCGTTTAATCATTGTATCATACAAAAATCGCTATCGGCTATTTCTATTAAACTTTGTATCTACTCCATCTTACGTGCGTACAGAAATTCATTTATATACATAAATTTGAATAAATGTTTGAACGATCTAACTTAATTTCTGCCCAAATAAAAATATTTCAATATAAATTAACATGTAATTTTTCACAATTTGAGTGGGGCTCCAACAGAATTAGGGAATCTAAGCTTCCCTAGATCTTTAGACTTACTGGATACTTTAAACCGTTTACATATCTTTCAAAGAAGTATTTTTTTAAACATGTTTTTCGACAACATTGGCAATAATAGTCTTACAAATCAATCCCTCTATAGTTAATCTTAAAAATAAACAAACATCGACTATGTTTCAATATTTCAATTATGATTTCATACTATCAACAGTATACTTTGTTCAACAAGAAAATTTCGAGTTTTATAGATGTGGTTGGTCTATACCGTCGACTGAAGACGAGGCAATAACCTTCTCTACATTCCATTGAACTACCGTAACATCAAGGCGGTGTGCAGATTAGAAAAAAATTCTACTTCTTCATATGTTTTTGTAAAATAGTAATTTTGTTCATTTCTTTGCTAATATCGATTGTACCGTTATGCTTTTTACTCTTTATATCATGTGGAGATAGTTTAAGATAATTTCTCCGATTCGTTACAATATGTTTGCTCAAACCTTACTTAACCTACAATAAATAGTTCGGTGTTATCAACCGCAACAACAATAATTATCGGTCGATGATTGGTTTTTCAACCAAATAATTGTTTATTCAAATCATGTGCTATACTCGAGATACATTTTTTATTATCCTTTGATTACTGATTGATAGTTGAATTGTTGTTTTTTAGAAACAAAAATGAAGCTATGAAAGAGGGTCCGGAAGGTTNTTAATTATCCTTTGATTACTGATTGATAGTTGAATTGTTGTTTTTTAGAAACAAAAATGAAGCTATGAAAGAGGGTCCGGAAGGTTGCATTGACGACCCCCTGGACTCGTTACAGTTTGACGTGGCATCCAACACGCCATCATCGACCAGTCGGCAGCCTGAAAGCCAAGCGGAAGTTTCCACGTTATGTATAGCGTCGACAGACGACGATGACATCGACAAGATAATTGCAGGCGAATGGCACGGTGGACAATGTAAAAGTATGAAACGTCGATGACCACTTTGAAATGTTTCAATAATATTTTTTTTGTTGATGCAGGTTGTTGCAACAGATGTGCTTTCAGAGAATGGAGACTAGTCGGTGATAAGTTGCAACTGTTTTGTTTCAAAGATTACGATGAGCTACTAGCAACTCGACCGACGGTAAGTGTTCTAAAACTCATTAATTTTTATTGTCATGATTTTTCTATCATTTTTAATTTAAAATGTGCAAAATTTCAATAAAGATCACGACCAACTGTTGTTTTTTTTAGAAAATTCGTGCATTATTTCTATTTTTTATTTAAGTTATGTATGTTTAACATTGTACTGAGCCAACGGTTTTAATTAAATATAGTGATTTTTCTATACATGAACTTTATTTCCTTAATAGATCACCCTAGAACGTATTATGTTTTTTCCCAATAACGATAAATATTAGGGAAACTAGCTACTTTTGTTTATTTATCTTTTTTTTTATGAAATATTTATTGATAGTTTATTTATATTTTTTTATACTTGCAGATAGCTAATATAGAGTTTTGCTTTCGATTCAAATCAAGTCCCAAGTGTTTGAAACACCCAAATGTGCCCAATGCAAACTGTTTTATATTTTTTGAAATTGTCTCAGGTAAGTGAGTCTCTTTTGTAGTTTTTTTTTACATCAAAAACGAAAAATCACCAAACTTGTATAACCTCAAATACGAATACAAACCTTAATACCACTAAGGCGTGTTGTATGAAAAATGATTTTTACAATACGTTCCATCTCAGGTGACATTCATAAAAATTGGGCACAAGTGGTGCGACGGCTGAAAGAAGTGTCCATCAACGCCACACCTACTCAGATTCGCCGATGGTCTCGAACAGTGGACGATAACGGTAATACAGCACTCATTCTTGGCGTAAAAAGACTGATGAACTGTGGACTCTTTAAACGGGCGCACCAGTTTGCAGTGATGATGTTGAAGTTCGGCAGTGATGTAAACTGGTTAAATAACAGTGGAAGGTCACTGATCACTTATACCGTCCACTACATGGATCAAGCTGTGGACATTACAAGACTCCTTTTAAACAGTGGTGCTACGGTTTGGCTCGAAGGTGAATATTATCATTTGTATTGAAATTATAATGTGAACATTTTATTTTGGTTAATTGAATCAAAAGAAAGTGTTATAAGATCACTAAAATTTGTTTTTGAGAGAAGTACACAGACTTTGTTTATTATATAAATCGTGTAATAATATTTTTTACATAGATTGCAACTCGGATGCCAGACGAAACTATATANTGTTATAAGATCACTAAAATTTGTTTTTGAGAGAAATACACAGACTTTGTTTATTATATAAATCGTGTAATAATATTTTTTACATAGATTGCAACTCGGATGCCAGACGAAACTATATAAGTATGTTGAAAGAATATCGGTCGNTAAGTATATTGAAAGAATATCGGTCGAGGACAGAACCGGACATGTGGTGTTTAACAGATAACCCAGTTGAGAATCCGATGGATAGTATATTTACATGGTTCCTACGTTCAGTAATGATCAGACGGCGATTAGACGACAGCTGTCTTCATACAATGTCATTGCTTTCACAGGTAAATAAAATACTCTCGTGTTACAAAGATTGAAGAATTCACTTATTTGACAATTTTTTTTCAGTCCATGGGAGAAGATCCAACAAGAATGCACTCACATGTGATGCGTACCATGTTCAGTCACGCCCAGTGTTACAACATCTTTGGACCCGTGTTTTTCCAGATCAAACGAGCTTTAGCACCTCAATGGGCTGAACCGCATTCACTTCAGCAACTGTGCCGAAAGTCGATAAGACGATCTCTGTTTAAAGGATACCACAACAACACTCACCTGGATACTGTAGCCGAGTTGAATTTACCCAAACCTTTGGAGTCCTATGTCGCGTATCACAATTAATTATTTTAATTAAAATAAGCCCATTGCTCTCTTTTTTTTTACACTTCTCCAATGCCTAGTCGACTAATTTAATAAAGTGTACTCTATCGATAATAACTGGCAAACTTCGCCGTATATAATCGATTGGTTTTCCTAGACAAACAATGTATTAGGAGTAAAATATTATTATTTTATTTACTATTATAATCCATACCATATATTTAAAATTAATTATGGCAATCATACCATTTAAAAGTTGAAAATTTAATGAAAATTTTCAATGTTAATTAAATGTTTTATAATATGACAAATGTGAAAACCACGAACAGTTTATAAAAAATTTCGTTTCGGTTAATGTAACTTTTTATCAAAGCTACTCGATGTATTACAATGTTTTACCATTACTATCATTGAATTCTATTTGTTATAAATTATTATGTTTGCATTCTTGCCACTTCAATTATTACTGGATATCCTCCAGTAATAATTGAATAATTTTATGTATAATTTGTGTATACTAGTTATATTGATATGTATGTACGTACTATCTGTGTATAGTATATTAAAACAAAATATTAGATTATGTAAGATGTTTACAATAAATTTAAATTATTTACCATTAAGAGCGGCCAGCTATCATATCCTATGTTTTACCATTATATTTGGTGTAATTTAATTGATCATAGCAGACTTGAGAACCAAATTATTAAAATATCCAGAAGTTGTTTTTAATTCAACAGTAAGTGATTTATATTTAATGATTGTTATTTTTGTTCCTTCGAGAAAAATTGAAATTAGTAATTATTATTATATTGATAATGTTGATAATTATTATACTTGTTCAACTTAGCATTAAATATAAAAATAGCATGGCCGTCGTGATATGTTCTAATGATTACTGATTAAGAACACTGCCTTTGGTTTTATTTTTATTGTAATTTTTGTGTATTTATATTCCTAAAATTTAATTGATTACCTACAATTTGATTTTTTTTTACAAATTTGTTATTAAGATACTAATAAGATGTTGTATAAGTAGTTATTTTAGACAACATGTACGCTTATGTAATTATGTATAATCTAGTCGCAATTTAGGCGAATAAAACCAAAGGGTAAAAACAAAATTATGTATTATATTAACTTCGAATTTAAAATACCATACAAAAAAGTTGTTGATTCAATCAATCGATCAGTTTTAATCTAATCAAATTTAAATATATCTTAGCTACTTTAATTTATTCCTAATTTCATACGCTAAACTAACTACTATCGTTATATAATTAAGTTTTACTTGCTATTAAATAAGTCGCGAATTATAACTATTATAGGTAATTTTTGATGAAATATATCAAGAATAAATTGAAAACCAAGTCTATTTTCGTTTGTTATATTCTAATTACAGTAATAATAAAATAAAAAAGCAATTATAAATAGATATCAAGCATTTGACTTGTTCGATTTCTTGATCTTGGATCTTGTATGAGTTTTGTTCTCAACTGTCATTGATCTTAGAGAAGCTTTTGGGTCAATTTTAGATAACAATTCTGATTCCAGCTTTAAATAACATCCACCTTAACAGAAATAATTGTTATCATTTAATTTATGAATTTATCTCGATAGAGTTCTGTTATAGTCCAAAATTTTCTTTTGAGGAGATAATAAAAAACAAAATGGACGATGCAGATTATAATTTATATAAAAATGTATTTAATGTTTTTTGGAACTATATAATAAAAAAAGTTGTAAACATACATTATTTCATTCTTTCCAATGAAGTGTTAAAAATATTGGAGTTTTTTATCATGTAAGGAATGAAAAATGATCTAACTTTTCGTGTTTTATAATAATTTTCTGAATCCCAAAAGCAAATATAAGCAACAAAAGTGGAGGGTAACACTCTTTTGTAAGAGCGACAAACAATATTTCAAAGGTGTTTCAAAGGCTGAATACCAATTATTGTATTGTTAGTTGTTTACGTCACAATGTTATGTTTATTACTATGCACAATATTTTCATTCGTTTTGATGTTACATAATCACTTGTTGAAATATTTGAAGTATCACTTATTGATGGTCTGACACACAGAATAAGTAAATTCAATTTTAATAATAATCTTCCAATTATAATTAGACGTATTTTTAATTAATACAAGTTATAACAATTGTTTTATAATAAATTATTAGCAAAATTTTTTTTTCTAAATTTATAATACACCCATTCCATAAGCGTATTTGTTTAAAAATGTATCATAGTAAACTTGTCAACCATGAAAGTATGCGTCTATTAATAGACATGATTTAATTTAATAGAACCTATGACAAATGATAATTATTGTATGTCAAATAGCAAATTATTAATAAAAAGTTGGACAAAAATCGCAAAATAATCAAACTAAAAATAAGGATTCGTATAAATGAATATTAAATCTAAGGGTTTTTATCCTTGAAAGAATGAAAAAAAAAAATTTAACTATATACTAGTAGAGATTTTTAAATAAGATCATTTTCTTTTTCTTTTTTTTATAAACATTTTAAATCTTCAATAGTTTCAAAGAAAATTAGCGTCTTATCCTTAATGAATCATCATCCATTATGCTGGTGTCCACTAGGTTTAGTTTTTTATTTTTCATGTTTATGCTTATAAACTTTAACTACCTTTAACTTTTTCACTTTTTACAAGATAAAAATGAACGGTTAATAGTGATAGCTCTACTAAACATTTTTGGAATAAATAAATAAGTTGCTGGGGTAACCGAATATTCTGTTATTCCAGCTGTATTGAAACTGTCACTATATTTACCGTATATATGGTTATTCTAATTTTTTTTTTCGGTGTTCTATTAATTTTAATCAGTACGACATTAACTGTAATTTTAAAAATTGAAAAAATATGCAATTGTAAAAAATGTTTATAATGTCTCAAAATAACGACCCCCCGTAGTTGTGCTACTGTAAGTTAATGTGTGCCTTCATCCTTATAGCCTGATCATTAAATAACAACGATAATTATGACATACTAAAAAACCACAGTGGAGTTTAAATTTAATTTTATGTTGATATAGATTTAAAGTAATGAATTAACCAGTACTAAAATAAAAGATAGTTAACATACTATTTGGTTGTCGCCAAATCTCGTTGGACGCAGCACTAGAAATCAATGTACGATTACATTCTTCATTTATCGTACTACTTTGATGAAAAAGATGTTGTGTGATTTGGCGAAAACAACGTTCTTCGTATTCCCTTTGGTTATCTTGATTACAACGCATTGGTGCCGTTGGTGACCACTGATAATTTCCCGTATATCTACATAAATAAATATATAAATTTATAAACTATGAAAGTTTAGTAATATTTAGCCAACTTAAAGTTTAATGACTCTGAGTTCACAACACTGGAGCACTTATACCAATAGATTACCAGCATCAACATTTGGATTTTTGGGGCCCTTTGGTTTTTTCTTCACTTAAGCCGGCATTTTGTGAGCCGCCTTAAAACTGCCGTTAGACATTATTTCAGGCTAAAAGGATTTCAGGGCCTGGTAAGAAACGTTTTCCTAGGCAAGCCTGAATTAACACATAAGGGTTGTAGTTCAAAATTCTAATTATGACCTTATATCACAGTGTGTTTTCGACAAACAAATCTGAACCCTTTATTTGGGAGCTACGACTTTTTTCTGACCCCTTTAATCCAATTTAGTTTAAATCGCTGATATGAACAATTTTAAAATTGATCCCATTGTTAAAAAAAATTTCTGGAATACCTGTATCTTTGTTTTAATGTTCTAATAGCTTTTGGAGGTTGTTTAGTTTTATGTTTTTTAACGGAGATCTTATCTGAATTAGTAGAGTCACTATCGCTAAAACTTGATAAAGAATCTTCAACTTCTTCAAACGAAGAACCAAACGAAGAATACGTTTCACAAACTATATTTTCAATAGATTCACATACATTTTCACCTACATGTATAATAACCAAATTAATAAAAAAGCACAAAAAATAAATCATGAAATTAATCAATATTTACTAATATTTGGCGATGGTGGTTTTCTAATAACCGGTTTATCCGACAATTCAGTAAGGAATTGCCTCTTCGTTGATGATATTCCAATGATAACATTTTCCCACCAATGTATAACTTTTTTTGTAGGACCCTCAGCTAAACACATTTTTTATTCTATAATTTCATCTAATTTTAATTCAATATTCAAGGTATTTGCATGAAATTCTCGCGTGATTATATTTGATGCTTATATGGTCTTTATAATTTATTGTTTACTTAACTCATAACACCCCACATTTATTACAAGATGTGTTTTTTAACATTATCCATTCAATTTCTCTTAAAATAATAATTATATTAAAAAAAAAAAAAACTGACTATTTCTTTTGATTTATCAATTATTAAATATTTTTTATACTATATAATTAGTCAAATTTATTTTATATTAATGGCAAAATTAATATTTAACCAGTTCATAGCGTAGAAAATTATTTTATTAAAAAATGTCTTATTGATGATAACTTTTGAATTTTTGAAATAAGCATTTTAGAAGTTAATATTTATATACCTAGGTGATAGGAGTGACGTGTTAGAGAAGTAATTATTTATAAAAATAGTATAAATAGTATAAATCTAAGCATTTCATTCAATTCATTCTAAATTTATGCATGTTGCTGTTGAAATTATTCTAAGTATGCTGATTGTAAGTTATTACTTATTGTATTGGTCTTAGTTCATATAATTTGAATTTTTATTTTAATCAATTGTCTTAAAACAATAGTTTGGAAATAATTTTTTTCATGCATGTTTTCAAAGTGAAACTTCTTTATAGAGGGTCCGAAAAAAAATAGATTATCGAGCGTCAAGGTCACATCACGGTCGGCTGTAAAGTATATTTTATATTATAATTTAGCACTGTTATTTCGAAAATTAAAGTAATTTTATTTAAATTATATTAAATAATTTAATTTCAAATAATTTTGATTGTGTATTAAAGTTTTTTAATGAACCACAATAAATGTAATTTTCACGCGATATCTTCATAACGAAAGAAGTTTCACTACATCCTCGCGTACTCGTAACACGCGCTATTTTTTATTTAGTTGTTGTCATTAAATTATTTTAAATTGTTATCATAGAAATAAATTAGTATGTCTTTAATTAATTTTCTATCTAACTGTTGTCTATCAAATATACCCTATAATACAGTCCACTAAAAAATATATAAAATAATTTAGTTATTTAACCAGTGCCAAATCTTGATTTTACTTGTAATATTGATTACAATTGTTCATATTTTATAATTATAGTTTGACTTCAATAAAAAATAAAAAATTCAGGTGTCTATCGATTAATGTAGTTCGCCTACAGTATTGTTAGTATGATAATTGATAAATCAAGAAACATTTAATGTTATGATGCACATCATAACCAAAGGTGTTTGCATAGAAACAATAAAAGATGCACCTGACAAGGTCAAATCTATTGAATTAGGTAGGTAAAATATATTATATGAATTAAATATAATCAACTTAGAACTAAAGGAAGTACTATCATAGTTAACCATAAAAAATGTTCGATCCAAGTTACTGGATCGTATTTATATAAATAAATATACAGCTGCACGTCTCTTTTATGGTCCTTTTATTGAACGTATAAGGATGGTTGTAGCCTTGTTTTTGCTGCCCAAGTCATAAATATCTAATTTTTTCTAAATTATCAAGTTATATTAGCTTCTCTAGTTCCATAATTGCGTTAATACGAAAAATAAGCTTTTTCAACGAGATTTTTACTGCAGTTAGGGAAATTTTTATATTTTTGTTTAACATATTAATTTTACCGTTGAATGGTGTAAATTTATGATTATCATTAGTCCATATAGTATTCTTTTTATTGATGTCATCATCAACATCTACAATAAAATTTAATACATTTTTAACTTAAGATAAAAGTAAAAATATAGATATTTTTTAGTTTATACAAACATTTCGGATCTAAATAATTTGAAAAACTATCAGAAAAAATGATTGGAGGTTCAATGGTAGTCAGAGATGGAAACATTTGCATAATCTTATGAATTTCTGCAGCAGAAGTATTTTCGAGTAATGGAACATGTTCTTTGTAATGACATCCCTGTTAAGTAGTAAAAATATATGTGATATTCTTTTTATATTATTTTAAAAAATTAACTTACAAATGGATTTTTAAGAGGTTCATATCTAAATGTTTTTTCATTACAACATGGATAACGTCCTAAAATATAAAAAATTATATTTTATTAAATTATAATCCTTAATGCTTCACAAACTAAATTAATTAAATTTAAAAGGTCAAATTTTAAATAGAAAAAAAAACACATAAAAAAATTATGACTTCTTAAATTAGAAGAATTAGTGCTGTAAATTAATATCAATTTGTAAAAGTTTATGTATTTTAAAAATATAAGAGCTACTCATTTTTTTTATAACTTTTTGTAATAATAATGATTCTTTGTTGAACTAATCTATAAGAAAAATTAAATTTTTTCTATCATCCCTTATGCCGTAAACTAACATTAACTTTTATTTATTATTATTTTCTTTTTAATATCAGGTTTGATAAAATAAAAAAAAAAATTTGTAAGAATTTTTTTTATTTTATTCCATTTCCAGTGATTTACGAGTCTTTTATGTTGAAATGAGATGAAACTATAAGTATTTATTTGCACATGACGCGAACACTATAAATCGATGAGCACCACCGTTTCATAGCAATGTAATGACCGGATAATAAGATCAAAAACTTTTTTTATTTAATCAACTCTATTTGAAATTTAATATAGTCATTTGAAAAACAAAAGTTAATAATAGTACAAAGTAAAGGGATAATGGTAGAAATGTAATTTTTCTCATATTATTAAGTTTGATTAACATTTTAAAGACGATTTCATAAAATTTTACTATTTATCAATATTAGCTTCGATATTCTTGAGAAAAATTTGAAATTTATTAGATAGACATGATAAAAATGATTGAAAAATAGAAATCGTTTCGGTTTCTAGCCTTGTTTTTTTTACATCTGTCACCGATAATACGAGGTGTATTCAGAAAATAACGGGAATTATCTAATGTCACGACTTTGAAGAATCTGATTATCAAAATTTTATTTTTCATAATGTTGGTACACATGTCTCATGATAAAATTTTTAGCTGCATTAATTTTTTATTTTGTCAGTAGCAGCCGCTAAGGTTAGACATCTTTTTATAACCTCTGCGATTTTCATTTGTTAAAAAAAAATGGATCAAAGGATTTGAATAAAATTTTGCGTTATTAATGAAGTAAAGCGTAACAAAGTGTGTGAAATGTTAACGGAAGGATTAACGAGTGGTATAAGCGTTTCCAAGATGACCGTAAAGACGTTGAAGATGACGAATGCCCCGGACACCTCAGCATATCAACAACCGATGAAAATATGGAAAAAGTGAAATAAATGGTTATAAACGATCGCCAGATCACAATTAGAGAAGACGTTGTAGGTATTGGAATATCGATTTGCTCATGCCATGAAATATTTTCGAATAGTTTGGGTATGAGAAATAACACAATTTGTTCCAAAATTATTGAATTTTGAATAAAAACAACGACGAATGGAAATTACTCAGGAATCACTTAATAAAGTCAATGACAATGTAGAATTACTGAAATGTGTTATTACAGGTGACGAAACATGAGTTTATAGATACGACGTCGATAAGGCTCAATCATTCAAGTGGAGATATTTTTGATCACCAAGACCGAAAAAAGGCTCAACAAATCCGATCAAATGAGAAAGTTATGCTCACTGCGTTCTTCGATTACAATGGCATAGTTCATCACGAATTCTTGCCATGAGATCAAACGGTCAATAAGAATTAATACCTACAAGTTCAACGTCGTTAGTGTGAAGCAATCAGAAAAAAACGCCAGAATTTGTGGCAAAACAATTCATGACTTTTGCAACATTATAATGCACCTACTCATAATTTATTGCTAGTTCATGAATTTTTGTCCAAAAACAATACTGTAACCATGACCTAGCCATTATATTTGCCAGATATGACTCTGTGTAACTTTTGTCAATTTCCAAAAATAAAGAGAATCTTAAAAGGTCGCCGTTTTACAATCATAGATGACATTAAAAGCGCGTCGCTGAATGAGCTAAAGGCTATCTCAAAGATCTAGTTTGAGAAGTATTTCGAGGATTGGAAGAAGCGTTGGCACAAGTGTATAATATCTAATAGGGACAGTTTTGAAAGCGACAACATCAATGTAGACGAATAAATAAATATTTTTTTCAAAAAACGAAAATTCCCGTTGTTTTCTGAACACACATTGTATATTAGTTATAACTTAGAACAACTATAAATTATTGTTAATGAATAATATATGCAAACTTCTAACAAGTTTTAAGTATATATTATTCATTGGCAATTAATGTAAATGTTATAAATCGCGTTCAAAATTGTAATCATTATATCAACGTGTATAGTAATCGCTTGCTTACTTGAACGACATTTGTCACCACTAGACTTATTTTAAATTACTTTAGTAATAACTCATTTAAAAATATATTTTATAATTTTTAAATTCAGTTCAACTAAAATTATTGAAAACGAAACCTTAATTAACGTTAAGGTTTTGGTATAATAAAAATAAATATTTTAATTAGGTTTTTAAAGGTTCTGAGTTTGGATCCAGTTTTAGTTTCTGTATAGAATATTTATCTAAATGATTTGATTTATCTAAATAAATCCTAATACTAGATAAAATTACTTTTGTTTAAAATAATAGAGTTAATATATAACGCACCTAATGGATAACATAGATGTCGATTATTCTCTATAGCACAATACTGAGGAATTTGAGGGTGATATTGGCACCATTTATGATATTTAACTGGATACATTATTTTACAAAGTGTACAACGCATAAAATGACATTCAGACCACAAACACCAATAAACAATACGCCAACTTTTATGTTTAAAAAATAGTGATTTCACATGATCATTTAATGTCCATCTTAAATCTCTGAAATAAAATCAAGAAAGCACAAGATTAATTTATGAATTAGTTTTCACTGGACTGATTTTAATAAAAATATGTCAAAAGTTTTTAAATCTTATCTAGCTGAAAACATTACCCTCAAAAATTAAAAAAATTTTAATTTACTATAAATTATTTTTGTGCACATTTTTTTTTTAATTTAAATTTTACAACGTTATTGTAATAACGGTTTTAAAAAGTATGCTTTTTTATTTTAGGTAATTTTAGCTTCGATGCGAAGCTGAGAAGGTATTGGTTTTACTAAGATGTGTTTTTTTTTTTTTTTTTTTTTTTTTTTTTCCCACTTTTTTTTTTTTTTTT